TTGAAAGTATTTGCAGCTTCTCAGAATAGTCTTTCAACTTAATATTGAACTTATTCAACTTAATACTGAAGCAGCCTGAAGTAAGAAGTCAGTTTACTTGTGGCTTCATTATACGTTTTTTAAAAACAAAGAAGCCTAGTAGGTTCTGCGTTCACTAAAATCATTAGTCTTGCTGCTATACTTGTCTAGGTAAAATAATCCTCCAGATTGTACCTCTGGGTAAATTCCTCTGTGGCATTGAGTTTGTTTAAAGACCAACTGATATGAATTAGGAGTTTTAGGTATAGTACTAACCATCTAACGAGGGCCCTGAAGGATTTATTTGCTATCAGGACCCACAGCCTTCTCTGGCCAAATTTTAAGAGTTTTTCTCAATAGAGTTACAAAATCTACTGGAAAGTTTCAGTATTAATATCTATCTGGGGACTGCTGCAAACAAACAGCTCTTTAGTTCTTGGTAAGAACAGAGACTGTTGGGCCAGATTTCTGGCCCTTAAGAAATGTGGCGTCTGATTCTATTTGGCAGGAAGTTTAATCTGGTATGGAATTTTAGCCAAACTTCTTGGAGAAATGTTTTAAAAAATTTTTTCACATCCAAAACTTACTGTAAAAAGAGATGTCCATTAGTCTATCTAGTCTATTGTCATTTAAATTGTAAATATTCATAGCACTGTTTTCAGCAGAATGTACAGAGCACATGACCTTTAGTTCCTGAATTTGTGACCATAAGCTTTTAAGTAAAATTGGGAGAAATTTGTTGTAGTCTACTGTTTATTTACATTGCAGCCAGAGAGGCGCTAAGTGCTACAGTTTCCTAACCAACTACCAAACAGAAATTTACAGGGTTTTTTTTTTTTTTTTTGCAAGTTATGTATATTATGTATCATAGTAAAAGGTATATAATTCACCTTTTGGAATATGGCACCTTCTGTGTACAGAACACTCAGATTAGATACTTCACTAGAACAGAAATATATGGAAAAGGAATTCAGACCTGAAAACACAGCAGTGTAAGAGAAAGGCTGATTTAGGCAGGGTGGAAGATACTTCAGGCAGGGTGTGATAACCATTCAAAATATTTGAAATGGAAAGAACAAAGAGGGAGAGGAGTTATTTTTGCTTAGTTATTAGAAATAATGAAAGAAATACAGAAAGTAGAAATTTCAGATAGAAAATCAGTTGAATTTTCTGGTCATGCATAGACTGAAAGCTCTAATCACACAGATATTCCTAACCTTTGCTGGCAAAACAGGGCATTTCATTATGATGATGTGCCTTAAAAGTGGCTAAAAGAGCATCTGAGTGGGAGAAAATATTTCATTGATAACTACTCTTGCGACTTTCTCCTGTTGCCACTTATCAGATCACATTTGATATCTTTTTTTTTTTTTTTTTGTTATACTGGTTTATACTCTGACTTGTTCTATGACTTACTAGCTACCTTTGGAAGAAATAGAATATTCAATGCTTTTACATTTTCATAGTTTGAAAGCAGCTTTTATTTTTTTGGTCCATCTTTTATTTAGCTTAAGAAAGTAGAAGTCTCAAGTCATAGCGTGGTAGCTGCAGTGTACGAGATATTCACAGGTTGGCATCTGGAAACCTGAGTTTGGATTCTGGCTCAAGTACTGGTTAGCTGACCACTTAAGCAAGTTACTTATGCTTGGTGATAATCAGTTTCTTAAAATAAGGGAGCAGTAATACTAACATGCTTATTGTGCAGATTAAGTGAAATAATGTGTGGGATAATGCTCTTGTTCCAAGTATCTGTTTTAGTCATTAATGTTCATATTCATTTTCTATTGTTGCCTTAACTCATTACTGCAAAGTTAATGGCTTAACAGGACACAGATTTAACATCTCATAGTTCTGTAGCTCACAAGTCTGGATGGGTTCTGCTGGTTTCTCTACTCCAGGTCTCAAGAGGCTGGAGTCAGGTGTTCCTGCCTTGGCCTCTTTCTTAGCTAGAGGTTCTGAGAGCAGAATCTGCTGTCAGGTTCATTTGGGATATTGGTAGATTCAGTTCCATGCTGCCATGGAAGTCCTTATAATCTTGCAGCAGCTAGAGGGTTTCCTGAGTTTCTAGAGGATGCCTGGTTTCCCTTCATATTTCAAGCTAGTCAAGTCTTCAGGTTTCAAATCTGATTTCTTCCTGCCTCATCTCTTCTACTACCAGCCAGAGAAAGTTCTCTGTTTATAAGAGTTTTGGTTAGGCTCACCTGGATTATCCAGGATAATCTCCTTATTTTAAGATCCATAACCTTAATTACATCTGCAGAGTTCCTTTTTCTATATAATGAATAAGGGCATGTTCATATTTGGGGATTTATCATGAACCTGACTACTAAAATGATTTTTTTTAAGAGCTAAAAGGGACCTTACAGAACATGAGATAAAGTTTTTGACCTGAAAGGTTCACAGTCCAATGGGTGAAAGAGATGAAAAATATACAGCAAGAAAAGTCCAACAATAAAGAGTTTGTATGAGATGTTGTAGGAACCCAGGAAACTTTTGTAATTGAGTTAGCCTGTGGTTTTTCCATCATACCTTGCTTGTTCTTTGATAAACCTTGTCTTTTATTAGAATATCAAGCTGCTGTCATAACTCAGTACTTGGGATCCTACTACTTAATAAGGTCTTTTTTTGTGTTTGTCCTAATTTTTATTTATTTATTTTTTTCAAAATTTTTTTTAAAGATTTATTTATTTATTTATACATGCACTGGGGACAGTCAGAAGCGCGGGAGGGTGAGAGAATTCACCAGAGCCAGAGCGGGGAGCAGAGCAGGCAGAAGGACCGAAGCACACTGCTGAGGGGAGCAGCGGGCGGCAGGAAAGGTCTGCGCGCCATGTGGGACCCTCCTCCGGTGGCTGGGGAGCAGCCGGGGATCGAACCGGCGCCGCAGAGGCCGCGGGCAGCTTTGCAACCCAGTGCTCTACCGCTGCGCCACCGGGGAGGCCCCTGTCCTAATTTTTAAATCAAAATTTTTCTGTTGTTGTTAATAAGGAAAGGTCTTGAGCCTCAACTCCAAGAAAAAGAATTACTTTCTTCTCTGATAAAGTATAACAACTTAATTCCTTTTATCTTGTTCCTTATCTTATCCTTATCCCCCGTTTTCATCATCAAAACCTTTCAATAGTCTTCTTGTCCTTCACTCCTAGTTCTCTCTGGCTGTCTATGTTTACTCCTTCCCTCTTGTTTCTTATTATTTTGAATTAGAAAACACTTACCTGGGGCAGTGCAGAGGTTTAATTCCTGCTACTTGTCCTTTTTATTAAATAAGTTTCCCTGGATCTTTTGTTCCATCTTGGTGATGATTTTATAATACTAGAATAACAACAGCTGCCATTTGTCAAGAATTTACCATGTGTGAGATGCTGTGTAGAGTCCTATCCTTGCATTGTAACATTCAGACATTCTGTGAAGTGTAGCTACTATTTTTAATCTCCATTTGAACCCAGCTGGGGCTTGAACCTAGATCTAGGTGTGAAGCTTGTACTTGACAGCATGCATTATAGTAACATTAAACCGGAGCTGAAATTGAAGGGCAGCATGCAGGAGCCAAATAGCACAAGTAGAGTCAGGAAACTGCATTGCAAACTCAGCTCTGCCTTTACAGCCTTTCTGAAAGTTAGCAAGTTAGAGGATTTGCTTCTAGAGCATGATGATTCCATTTGCCACCAGTGACATTCAAAATGATTCCTCCACATTACACTTCAGTCAAGTGATTGCAGCTTGTGTCTGCAGCCCTGGACAGCCACAGAACATGTGTGGGCACCGGCATTCCCCAAAAGAGCTATTTCTCTGAGGTTGGGGGCAAGGAGCAGGAGGTGGTGTGTCCTGTGGTTGGTCCCAGCAATCACAGGTAGCAGAGAGTATTTCCCACAGGATTGAAATGATTTAAGATAAGGATTTAACATGGTGCCTGGCAGTTCGTGGGCACTCGGTATGCACTAGTTCTCATTGTTCTAGGAGAGTTTCTTTGGTTCAGAGATATTCATGCTGGCAATTATCTTGTTCTTCTAGCTCTCCTTGCATCTAGGCTCAATGCTGAGAAGACATGAGATGCTTCTCTGTTTATGGCTGCTGGCCAATCCTGTGAATCATACCAACTCTCAAAGTTTGAGCTCAGAGGGAACTGGAATCTGAGGCCAAAGAAGGCAAAATATTTCCCCTTCCCATTCTCATTAAGTTCTTGAGTTACTGATGTAATGGAAATAAACAGTCCTGGGTTCAAATCCAGGGTTTGCACTTAACTGCTCAAGTTACCTGCCTATTTCAATCATGGGAAGAACTTGAATGGAAAAGGATAAAGCTGGCCATTTTACTCAATGCCACTTCTTTCAAAGGATGTCTCCTTACCTGTGAATACGGGCAACAGCAATTCTCTTGCAGGGTTGTAAAGAAAGTAATGGAAATGCTGCAAGCAGGATGCAGCAGAAGCCAGGGAAAGATCTGGAGACTTCATATATGCCATCCATTCATTCTAGACCCTGGCAAATTAGGTTGAGTAAGGGGTCCCAAGTTTGTTTCCTTTATCTTTTCCCCTCTCCAGCAGGAGGGCATCCTGGTGAGATAACTGTGGCTGCTCTGCTCACAGGCCAGAGTAGGTACAGGGAAGAGCCCTGTGAGGTAGTGGAGATGCCAAGTACCACCTAAGCCCAGCCCCACTTCCTTCCACCACCGAAGCTCCTGGCACCAAACAGTGTTGCTTCAGCTGCTAGTAGTTAATGCTCGTTTACTTGGAAACGTTTTCAGTTCCTGAGAGCAATATGATGCTGGGAGGGTCCACTCCTCACTTTCCTTGTCTCCCTACACTGGATCCCCGTGCACCCTACTCCCAATTCAATTTTCTGTCCTTCAAGGCTTACCAGGCTGCAGGCCCAGGGCCAACGTGGGAGGTAAAGGGAGTTGGGAGGGCGGGAAACTTTTCCGGGAAGGGGCCCAGCGAAGTTTTGGCTGACGGCCCTGTTAGCCACGGCCCAGGACCCTAGGGTGGGAGTGTGACGGGAAAGGTACTCGTGCCTGGAGTGGTTGCAAAATCCCTGCCATGGGGAAGAAATTGAGCTCACAGGCACTTGGTGAGGGAGCCCGCTACTCGGCCCTCCTTTCAGGTGCCGAGGCCTAAAGGGGGTCCAGTTCCGCTGCGGAAGGCTGGGACCCAGGTCGCCTATGGGCTAGACACCCCGCCTTTCCAGCCTTTTAAAGGGGGGTGCGGTTTAGCAGGCCCCGGCAGGAGTGAAGAGGGGTCGGTGTGGCGGCTCTGTCTCCCTGGGAAGTGGGGCCGAGCCAAGTCCAACGCGGGGAGGGGACAGGCCCTCCCCTCCCGGCGCCTGCGGGGACCCTGCGCCTGTGTCCGGAGGAGGCCGGCGTCCAGCAGATGCACGGGGCGGGGGAGAGGCGGGGACGAGAAAACCCACAACAAAACTTGCGTCGCCGAGCGCACGGCTCGACTTGAATGGAAGGAGCCCGCGCCGGCTGAGCGCAGCGGCCTCTCGGAGAGCGCGTTCCGCCGGCGGGGCGCGGCGCGGCGCGGGAGTGCGGCAGGTACCGGGCGGGCGGCCGGGTGGGCGGAGGGCCCCGGGCCGCGCCTGGGCAGCGCATTCGGACTTCGCCGCCCGGTCCGACGGCCTCAGCCGTTGACACGGGAGGGGCCGCTGCCTCTCGCCTCCTTTCGGGAGCGCTGCGCTGAGGGGCAGACCCAGGGCGCTCTCTGAGGCGCGACCCCTCCGCCATCCGGACCCCAGCGGGCGCCTTTTCTCCTCTCCGTCCAGAGGCTGGTCCCAGCCCCCGGGCCCCTCCCGCCGCGCACATCTGGAAAGAATCTGAGGGTGAATGGGAGGGGGAGTGAAAGGATGCGGGCGGGCGACCCGGAATGTGTGTGTTGGGAGGGGGCAGGTGGAAGTGGGGAGGGGCGTGGACCCCTGAACTTCAAAGTTTGGGCGCAGAGTACACTGTGTCTCTCCACGTCGGCTCCGTCCAGCTAGCCCACCCCGACCTTTTTTTTTTTTTTAAAGACTTATGTATTTGTGCATACAAGAAGTGGGGTACAGGCCAGAAAGGGGTGTGTGTGGGGGGGGTGAGAGGATTCACTAGAGACAGAGCCCGGAACAGAACAGGCAGACTGACTGCTGAGGGGAGCAGCGGGCGCGGCAGGAGAGGTCTGCCTCGCCATGTGGGTTGCTCCCTGGCCGGGGATCGAACTCGTGCTGCAGAGGCTGTGGATAGTTTCATAGTTTGCGTCTTAATCCCTTGCGCCGCCAGGGAGGCTCGAGACTTACAGAAGGAAAACTGAGGCCTAGAGAGGGCAGAGGGACGCACCTGACGCGCGGACAGGTGAAGGAGTCCGAGCGTCCGCCTTCCGGACCCGCCCGGGGCTCGGCTCCTCAGCCCAGCGCCGCGCACTCGCCGAGCCAAAGCTCTCAGCCGGCGGCCTGGTGTCGGTCTGTCTGCGCGGCTTCCTCCCCGCTGGGACAGCTGCCCTGAGGCGGGGTAGGGGGTGGGGTGGGGGCGCTGATCGCGGGAAGCGTGTTGGGCGCCTTCCCGCCAATGCGGCGGAAACCCAGAGTGTAGGTTCTAGAACCTCCAGCCTGGTCTGGGGCGGGGCGCTGGGTGGTGGGGTTAAAACACCCGGTGCGCGGTCAGGTGGAAGAGGAGGCGGCCGCGGCGAGCGCCTGGCTGCAGCTGGGGCTGGGAGTGGCAGGTCTCAGCTGCAGCCTAAACCTCAGGAAAGGAGCGGGCGTGCACTAGCATGAGTGGCGCGCAGACCCAGGGGCCCCGTGGCACCGGGGGATGCTCGCCGGCGCTTGGAGTGCTGAAGGGACATATCCAGGCCCACGCAACCTGAGCTTCCACCCTTGGACGTCTGTCGGGCAGAGAAAGGTGAAGCTGTGGTCTACCTGGCTCCCAGAGGCAGGATGGTGTGAACCAAGAGGGCCCCTGCATGGTCACATCCACTTTTAGGGTCCCTGGCACAGTCTGCTCTAGCCTAGAGTGCAAGTTAAATGTCAGACTCACTTGACCGTTTTCGTGAACACTTGTGGGAGCATACTTTGTCTCTTCTATCTGAATCTTGGGCAGGGTGGGGTGGGGTGAACGTTAGACCTGGTAGAGTCATATATGAAAACTCTACTTGGAACCCTCCATGGCTCCCTGCTACCGACACCCTAGCGTGGTGGTTAATGCTCCTGGAGGCTTGGATCTCCAGCCCCCCTGCTTAAACACCCCTTACTCTTCTCTCTTACTCATGCCTTCCCTCCCTTTATCCACCTGAATAACTCCTACTCAGCCTTCAAGACCTGCTTAAGGCTCTGGACAGGAGTCAGAAGACAAACTCTAATCCTGGCCTTGCCTTTACACACTGATAAACTTGAGGGAGTCAGACCAGATAATACTGCAGGTCTTTTTCAACCTGGCTTTCACAAATTCCTTCATACAGAAATATTTCCCGAGCACGTGTGCATGCCTGAGGAGTCAGGGCAGGCTCAGCTGAGTTTGGAAGGATGCCGCGGATGCCGCGGGCCAGGGGTGTGGTGGGAATTTTAAGGCGCTCCCTCCCCCGGCCCAGAGGGCTGGAATCCTAGGAGCAGGGGCTTTTGAGTAGGAGATTTGCTGGGAATTGGGCAGCAGTGGGACCTCCTTTGTGCTTGAATTTCCTCATCTGCAAAATAGGAACACTTTGTCTCAGCATTTGTATTATAGTCAATAAGATGTAGCTGTTCAGGGCCTGGTACATAGCAGACAATCAATTATTTTTTACTGAATTTTACCTGAGGGGGAAGGTAGGGCCGGGGGCCGAGGAACTACCTCTTGATTTGGGTCTCCCTTCCCTGTTCCTCTTCAAGCCTGCCTTAATTCCCCACTTAAGCCCTCTGGGCTTGAGGTTTGGTTCCCCAGGTTTGGGGGAGATGGGAAGGCAGTGAGGCCCAGACACTTCCTCAGGAACAGTAACCCCATGTATGTCACATTGGCCAGGCTTGTCATTTCATATGCTCCTTACGAAGAGCTGCCGCTTCCGATGCCTAGACGAGTGAGTGCACAGAGGCTGGGGGGAGTGAAGTGAGTCATGCAGGACCACCCAGCAGTCAGAATTGGAACCCATGTCCTTCGGCTGCAAAGTTTGCCATGTGAGGAGGATCTGCCTCAAACTGAGCGACCCCTCGCCCAGCATTAGCTGTGCTCACGGTGTGAGTCTCATGAGGGAGACTTCCATGGATCAGGAATCAGCTCTCTCAGTTCTTCCACACACAGCTCCAACATAGTTGGGCAGACAAATGGACTTGGGGCCTTATCTCGATCAACATTTTTAGAAGAACAGAAAACATTGAGACTCGGATGGGCCGGTGACATGACCAAGGTCACACAGCAAACCAGGTGGCTGAACTACAGCTGTCCAGGATCCCAAGGTCCCCAGGAGGAGGTAGCTGGGGGCAGGGGCAGGGGTCACCACTTGTCAAGCCCTCTCATTCCTCCCCTTTGAGTCCAGTATCTCCTCTCCGTCCCTTCGGCCAAGTATCTCCCTGTCTGCCCAGAGAGCTTATTATCCCGTGTGCACCATTGCTTGGTCTCTGAGAGTGCCCCACCCTTCCCTCCACAAACCTACCTGTGTCACACTCCTGATCTTCAGAGGCTCCTCATCCCCCCTAAGATAAAGGATCACTTTCCCTAACCTGGTTTTCAAGTCCCTTCTTGGCCTGCTTTTAGCCAGTACCCACTGGCATCACTCCCAGTTCAAGCCCCCAGCAGACGCTCAGTTAAGCTATGTGGAGGTGCCAGCGGGGGTTCTCTTGCCCCAGGTCTTTGCACATACTCACCCCCTTGCTTATGTCACCCTTTCCCCTTTGCCTTCTGCTCAGCTTTCCTGGCTGGGGAAGGCATCGCTTCTTATGGGAAGCCAGGCCAGGTTAGTGTCTCTGGGCCCCACAGACTGTAGCTTCCCTCTGTCACATCTCCTCTGACCCTGGGATTATAATACTCAGTCATTACATGTGCTGGAGACCAGTGTTACCAACAGAAATATAATATGAACCACAAATGTAAGCCACAGTTATAATAAAAATTTTTTTAGAAACCATGTTTAAAAAATGAAACAAATGAAATTAATTTTAACAAATTTATTTTACTCAATAGATCCAAAATTATGATCATATAACCAATATAAGCATACGTGAGATACTTTCTGCAATATTAATATTACTGAGATAGTTTTCATTCCTTTTTGTCCTAAGTCTTTCAAATGCATATGTCCTACACTTTCCCTTACAGCACATCTCAGTTTGGATTAGTCACATTTCAAGGGCTCAGTGGCCACAGGTGGCTACCACGTGGGACAGTATAGATCTGAGCTTTTTTTTTTTTAGATTTATTTTTTATTTATACAAGAGCTGCAGTACAGTCCAGAGTCACGGGAGGGTGAGAGGATTCACCAGAGACAGAGCAGGGAGCAGAACAGGCAGGTGGACTGAAAGCACTGTTGAGGGGAACAGCGGGTGAGACAGGAGAGGTCTGCCTCGCCATGTGGGGATCTCCCTGGCCGGCCGGAAATCGAACCGGCGCCGCAGAGGCTGCAGACAGCTTCACAGTGCTGCGTTCAACCCGCTGAGCCACCAGGGAGGCCCAGATCTGAGCTTCTTAAGGGCAGGAGCCAGCCTGAGGTCTGTCCAAGTCCTCAGTGCCCAGCTGTGTGTGGCCCAGGGCAGGACTCCATAGCATCGAGGTTAAAACCGGGGTGGGGAGCTCGCTTAGCCATTTAACAGCTGTGATACTTTGGCCAACCCCACCAGACTTCAGCTCCCTTATCTCTAAGGTGGTGATGATAATATGTTAAATATGGCTCATAATGTTAATGTAAATGAAATATTTTCATAGATAGTTTACAGATCTTTACAGATACAAAACTGAAGGTGAGGGAGGAAAAATAACCCATTCAGTAGTGCACGGGATAGGTGGGGCAGGGTCCTTCTCCCTGGCTTCCTGTCATGATTGGAACCTGGGTTCATAGTTGGCCCCCCAGCGCTCTTGTCTACCGTGGGTCAGACAGACAGCAGGGAGGGCGGCTTTGGTCTAATGCTGGCTAAGGGCTGTTGAGTTAGCTGGGGGAGGAGGGTGTTATAATGTAACCTAGGAATGATTTGTTGACTGGCTGAGGATTTGCTGCTCCTTTAGTCAGGGGACAGGGGCAGCAGGGTGTGGTGGTGGGCACAGGGCCAGGCTCAGTATGCATCACTCGCTGCTACAGACTGATCCTTGGAGCCGTGGAGCTATGTGTGTGCTGGTTCTCTGCCAGGCCGGTGGCTGGGCCCCTGTCTGCTCAGGCCTTATAGGCCTATAGGATCAAGCAAGTCTGGTGATTTTTCCTGTTCTCTCTGGAGCCTTGTGGAGTCACATGCTTGGTTGGATACTTTGTAGAGCTCACCCAGTCTGGGTCCCAGTCTGGGACTATTGTACAGTGGTTATTGGTACTGGGCAGCACCCCCCTGCAAACTGAGGGCAGGGCCTATCCAACTCACCTGTACCCCCTGTACAGGCCACACCATGCCAAGGGGAGAGGGGCCCTCACAGTAGGGAGCTAACTGAGCCAATGAGTGAGCAAAATGGTATCTGACATACTGTGGCAGCCACAGGCTAGCAGAAGTTCCCAGCAGGCCATTGTCTGCAAACCTCCTGGGAGGAGGTGGGCCTGGGGATGGACTGAAAAGCACACACAATATCTAGACAAGGGGAGGGAAAGAAGTGGGGTTTCTGGAGCAGGTAATGGGATGGGTGGGATGTGGAAAATGCCCACAGATCAGAGATTAATGGTAGGGCACACTAACATTTATTGAGCACTTACTGTGCGCAGTTTGTGATTGCCACTGACTCTCAGTCTCCCCATGAAAATGACTGTTACCACATCGTGGTAAGGATAAGGAAACTGAGGTTCAAAGGGTGACAAAGTGTGCCCAAATTCGTAATACTAGGAGACAGAGCTGACTTCACAGCCCCAGCTGCCTGGGCTAGAACCTCCTTCTTTTTCTTTTTAATTGATTTTTCTTACATGGTTGTTCAGTTTCATACAGTAATTGCTTTCTCCCCTCAGGTGTAGTCCCCTTAGCTTTCCCACCACCATATTGCTTGTGAACCATCACCGTGGTCCCTTATCAGAGCCTCCTTCTTTTTTTTTTTAAAGATTTATTTATTTATACAAGCACTGGGGTACAGGCCAGAGGCGCAAGAGGGTGAGAGAATTTACCAGAGACAAAGCGGGGAGCAGAACAGGCAGAAGGACCGAAATACACTGCTGAGGGGAGCAGTGGGTGAGACAAGAGAGGTCTGCTGCACCATGAGGGAATCTCCCTGGCCAGCCGGGAATCGAACCAGCGCTACAGAGGCTGCGGTGCTATGCTCAACCCACTGCACCACCAGGGAGGCTCCAGAGCCTCCTTCTTGATCAGTATCACCATCAAGCCCCCGGTTAACTTACCCATTCCAAGCCCAGCCTTTAACTGCTCTGTGGGTTGTGGTCCCCCATCTAATGTTGGGGAGAGGACTCATGGACTGAGTCTGGAGACTACTATGTACCTGCATTTGCAATCGTTGCAGGGACGGCAGCCCTCATCACCTCACTGGTGCCAGCTGCTGTAAGTTTATGTGAAGATCTGTGTTGTAAAATGAGGAATGAAGCTCAGTGAGGTCAGAGCCACTAAGGAGAGGAGGGCACTCCCCCTGGATGTATAGGACTCCAGAGTCTGCACCTGAGCTACTGCCTTATTACAACCTGTCACACTGCAGAGCTGTTTTCTGGGTCCCTATACAGAGAACTCCAGGGAACAGCCCTGAATCAAGCTAGGCCATGACCTGCAGAGATGGCACCCCAGCATTTTCCTCATGACCTGAAGCCACCCCCTTTCCCCCATCCCTGCAGCTCCAAGGGACCCTGCTTGGGTACAGATTCCTTGGGGCCAGGCCTGATGTGGGTTGTGGGAGGTTTTGCAGACCTGGACAGAGCTTCATCTCACCCCACCCCCTTCAGAGGATGACGCTTATGGGCTGGAATGGGGGAGGGTGGTGGTCAGCAATCAGGCGTGTCTCAGGGACGTCACAGTAGACTACGTCTTGTGTCCCAAGGGCTCCATGATGACACGGGCCCTACCCACATGCCAACCATACCTAACAGGCTAAGCCAGCCCTGCTGCCAAGTTGGGCCTGACTCAACCCCTCTTGCAGGCACCATGGCCCAGAGCAGGGCGCTGCTGCTCCTGCTGCTGTTGCCTCTGCAGCTGCAGCTGGGATGGGTGCTGGCGGTGAGGACCCCAGTGTTTGACCGAAGTGCCTCCCCCAACCTGAGCCCTGAAGAGAACGAATTTGTGGAGGAGGAGCCAGTGCTGGTTCTGAGTCCCGAGGAGCCGGTATCTGGCCCAGCCACGACAGACTGCCCTCGAGACTGTGCCTGCTCCCAGGAGGGTGTTGTGGACTGCGGGGGCATCAACCTTCATGAGTTCCCAGGAGGCCTGCCTGAGCGCACCAACCATCTGTCCCTGCAGGTGAGGCCTATGCGGTCATGGGCTGTCCCCTGCATGCGAGATGCATGTCCCCCTGCCACGGTGCTAGAGCAGCTCAGGCATCAGCAGTTTGGCTCCGCTGTGGTGTGCTGCCCTCTGATGGCCGGGCACAGAGTGCCATGACATTATAACCTGCTTTGTTTCACTTGAAGGAGTCTGGGCCATGGCCTGTACATAGTCAGCCTTGTCTGAAAATGGACAGACCTGCCTGGAACCTAATCCTTTGAATAGACAGCGTATCCCAGACACCACTGGGACCAAGGATGTAAGAGCAAAGGAGACCCTCTAGCATTATCTGGGTGCTCAGAGGACAGAGAGCGTTACCCAGCTGAAGCTTGGGCTATCTTTCGGAATCTCAAGAAGTGGAACATGCGTTCTAGGCAGGGGACTTCCAGAGCGCTGGTGCACCCATGATCACCCTTGTGTGTCCCAGTAGTCCTCGGGGGAGAGCAAAGGGCCATTGCACCCATTTCCAGAGATCAGGACCAGTGAAGGAAAGTGATTGGTCCACGGTCACATAGCATTGGTTTACCTGGGCTGGCAGGAGTGGAAGCTCGAGGCTAGGGGGGCCTGTGAGGAAAAGGGGCAGGTGAGGACAGCACTTACTATTGGTTCACTCACTCACTCATTCATTCATAAAATATCTCCTGGGTACCTCTGGTACTGTGTGGGGGCTTGCAGGAAGCATTAAGACATATCCTGCCCTTGTGCTGACTGTGGAAGGAGAGACCTAAACAGGGAGAGTTAATGGATAGAGAGGAAAGGCTAGTGCCTGGGGCCAGAGTGGTCTTCTAATCCAGCCCCTGAGCACAGCTGGGAAGATTTCTGACCCAGGTTTAAAATGTCTTGTTAGTAAGTAGGGACTGCAGGGACCAGAAGGGGAGCCCAGAGTGGCTTCAGGCTTCCCCTGGGGATGCCTGTCACCAGGGGAGGATACTTGGGGAGCAGGTCTGGAGGAGAGATGCACTGTGAGTCTGAACTGCCTGTCGACTTACATATGTGGGTTCCTAGAAGGTGGCACCCACACATCTGTACTGGTTACTGCTGTACCTGCTGGTCCAGAGCCAGCACGTAGGGCTGCCTGCTACCAGGGGTTGGGGAGGACGGGGGATTCCCCAGGGAGGTGCCCAACAGAGGGACTAGCTCCAGGGGTTGAGGGTAGGCTGGGCCTCCAGTGGGGCAGGGACCCCGGGAACCCCCAAGCTACCTTCTCACTGCCTCTAACCCTCACTCCCCAGAACAACCAGCTGGAGAAAATCTACCCTGAGGAGCTTTCCCGGCTGCATGGGCTGGAGACCCTCAACCTCCAGAACAACCGCCTGACTTCCCGAGGTGAGAGTTCAGCCAGAGCCCATGACCGTGCGGGGGATGCCGGGGAAGGCCTGGGCACCTATAGGGAGAGCCCTGCCCTACAGACCTCGGGGTGTGGAAAAGAGCAGGCCTAGTCTGGGCAGGCAGGGGGGCCATCAGGCAAGGGCCTCCCTAGGGTTTTCTAAAAGCTACCTCTTGGTGTCTGTGAGGCCTGAGAGTCAGAAGGGGAGAGGCTTCGGAGACCTTTGTTATAGACTCTTCCATCACAGAAGGCCTTAGAGTCAAAGAATCGTAAAGTCCTCACGTTTTTAAATGGTTATTTTTTCCCTGATGATGAAAATAATTTGATTATAACAGAAACTTTAGAAATGTACAAAATAAAATGGAAAAGAAAAAAATCGATCCATTATTCTGCCACTTGGGGTTAATCATTATCGGCATTCTGGGATATTTCTTTCTGTTTTTATTTTATTATTTTTTTAAAGATTTATTTATTTATGCATACAAGAGCTGGGGTACGGGCCAGAGATGCGGGGGGTAAGAGGATTCACCAGAGACAGAGTGGGGAACAGAACAGGCAGACTGATGAAATACGCTGCTGAGGGGAGCAGTGGGCGTGACAGGAGAGGTTTGCTGTGCCATGTGGGTTGCTCCCTGGCCGACCTGGGATTGAACTCGTGCTGCAGAGGCTGTGGGTTGCTTCATAGTGCGTGCTTAACCTCTTGCGCCATCAAGGAGGCCCTTCTTTCTGTTTTTAAAAGGCATAATTTGTAGACTTTACGATTTATGCAATTTCAAGGCACAATTTGGTGGGTTTTAGGTTTATACAGTTCTACAACCATCACCACGGTTCAATGCAGTCTTTTCTCTTTTGTTGTTTCGTCCACAGCTGAATTCATAGTGCAGCTAATATAACTTTTGTAACTGCCTTATTCCCCTTCGCAGTTACATTTCTCATGTTGCTAAAAGCGGCATGGCCATCGCTTTACCCAGTGGCAGCAGCAGATCCCACGGGGGGACAAGGCGCAGTTTATATAACTGTTCCCTCTACTTAGATACTTGGGTGAGCCCCAGCATCTGAGGGTCTGGGAGCCCGGAACTGAGTGTCAGAGGCCAGCGACAGGACTGGAGAAGGGCCAGCCTGGCCAGGCTCCCAGAGACAGCTGAGTCCTGACTCTGCGCCTGCCAGATAGGGCAGGGGTGGGCCAGACCATGGGGAGGCTCAGAGACCACAGCCCTGCCTTGTTCTAGGACCAGGGAGAGCATGCCTTCCCCGCAGGGAAGGGTCAGCCGGGATCTTCTGTCCCATGGCCTGACCTTATAGGGATCTATTCCCGCCTGGGCCGCCCTGAGCAATTGAAGGGTCTGTTATCCCTGAGTGGATTCTCTCTGCCTGCGGCTCTGAGCTAGTGTCTCTCTGAGCAAGGGGAAAGAAAATGGGGCTGGGCAGGCTCTACCGGCTGGTTGGTCCAGACTGGCTGGGAAAGGATTGGGGCTGAACCTGTGTGGGGAGTGCGCTCCCCAGTGCTGGGAGTGGGATAGGCTAGGGGGTTGGGTTGGTGCTGGCGTGCTCCCCTGTAGCGTCTCCTTCATCCAGGGCTCTGACTGATGCCTGTCCTTTGAAGGGCTCCCAGAGGAGGCGTTTGAGCATCTGACCAACCTCAATTACCTGTACTTGGCCAATAATAAGGTGAGGGGCCCAAGCAGGGTGGGGTGTGCTCCCTTGACCCCCTGGTCTCTGGGGCTGAGCTCAGGGAACTTTCACTAGGGCCTCTTTGGGTTGGCTACTGGGTCCCCATCGCTGCTCGGATATGGCCCTGGGAGGACTGACCCAGACCCCAATCCTTAACCCAGGGCATCAGAGTAGTCAGATAATGAAAATGAAGGCTGAGCTTACAGGAGTGTCAGAGTGAGAGATCATGGGTAGTGGGAGAGCATATCTGAAGGGCTTCCTGGAGAAGAGGGCAGCTGAGCAGGACAGTGAAGAGTAACAGGATTTCAGACAGGAGGCCTGAGGGGAAGGAATTGCAGGAGAAGGGCGAGCATGAGAAAAGGCTCAAACGCATTCAGCTACCTCGTATTTGGCATGTTCCAGGTCGCTGTCACAGCCCTTTCTGTCTGAGTTTACTTGAGGTGTCAAGTGCCCTCCTGGGGCTTTTACTGTCTGTTTGTATCACCACCACCTCTAGTGATGGTTTCCAGGCTTCCCCTCTCCACACTTGAGACTCAAAGATCTGCCTGCTGAAATCTCCCTTAGCCATCTAATGGAATTAGAATCACCTTCTCCACCCACAGTTCTATGCCCCAATCCTCTGCCACCTTTCCTTCTCTGTAAATGTTGGCCCCAACCACCTACATCTGTGCTGGTCTGAGCCACAAATCCAGGACTTCTCCATTCACAGATTTCAGGCTCACCATAGCCCTCAGCACCCCAGCACTGGACCACCATCCAGAAACTGCATGCCCTGGACCTTTAAAACCAGGCCCTGTTTCTATCCTTAAACCTCCCCTCCCTGCCCATGACTATCCAGAGGTTTTGCCTTCTGCCCAGAATGAAACCCACACTTTTTTTGTGGCCACAGGCCGGTGTGGTCCTGCCTTTCCACCTCTCTTAACTCATTTCCCCATGGGCTTCTTTCACTCTGCTCCAGTCCCCAAACCAGAAACCCTCTCACAGGGTCTGTATTCCCTGCTCCAGCTCTCCCGGTAGGTGGCATTTTGGTGCCATCATACCTTAGGTGTCACCTATTGAGGGGGCCTGCCCTGAGCACCCAGCTCAGCTGTTCTATGTCTTCAGCCAGTTTTAGTTTCCAGGTAGCAGTGATCACTGTTGGATACTTTTATTCCTTGTTTTTTGCCTTCTGCACTAAGATATAAGCTTTTGGTTTGGGGTTGGGGCAGGAATTTCCCGCCTTATTCCCCAGGACACGTCCAATACCTGGAACCATGCCCAGAGCATTGTAGACTCGGTGACTGCTGTTCAGTGAGTGAAGACTGCAGTGGGCTGTGTCTGGGAAGTGTGGGTGTTCACTGTGGCTGGGCACAGGGTCAGGTGGGAGAGCAATGAGAGGAGAGGCCAGGGGCACAGGTGGGCTTGGAGACAGGCCCAAAGGACTTTCAACATCAAGCTCAGGCCTATGGGGATCCATGGAGGTTCTGCTTTGTGCTATTATGGGATAGGTTTCCATTTTAGAAAGATGGCTGTAGTTGCAGAGAGGAGACAAGTTGCAGGTGAGCAGCGGGCAGGGGACCCAGAGCCATCCTCTGGCCCTTCATTGGTCCTTCTGCCCCAACTTCCCTTTGCAGCTGACCTTGGCACCTCGGTTCCTGCCAAACACCCTAATCAGTGTGGACTTCGCTGCCAACTATCTTACCAAGATCTACGGGCTCACCTTTGGCCAGAAGCCAAACTTGAGGTCAGAGGGAGGCCCTGGGCTCAGGCTAGGGGAGGTGGGGGAGCTAGGGCAGAGGCTGCCCACTGAGTAAGGCACACAGAGGACCGCCCTGGAGGAGGGGTGTGCTATGCAGTAGGGCATGATTTCCCATACCCAGGGCTGTGATGGGGGTTATCAGGGGCTGCAGGTGCACTGGATCTTGAGGGCTGACACCTAATGACAAGGAAGAATTATCCAGCAGGTGAGGGCATGGGATGATGTTTGCAGAATTGTGGGGAGCCAGGTGAAAGTTTTTCCTCCTTCTACAGCCCTGGGAGAAGGAAGCATCTCCCCATAGGCAGAATAAGTCCTCATTGGTGCTGTTTTGGGAGGAGTGAGACCTCTCAGCACAGGAATGAGCTGGGTGGATGGTGCTGGGGGGCTGTCGCCAAACCTCTCTCCAGCAATGAGGAGGGGCTGATAACCCCACATGCCATTTCTGTCCCTAAATAAGTCACTTCATTCTCTCTATCCCCTGAGGGGCCAGTATTACCATGTGTGACCCCATCCCATGGATAAGAAGGTTAAGGCCCAGGAGATGCCCCAAAGCGTGAATGAGCTGCATCTTCCATGTATTTCTCTGTTCCTTGTCTTTTTTCCTACTACGTTAGCTCCATGAAGGCGGGGTCTTGGTTGTGTCCACTGCATGCCTCAGAATCTAGAACAGTCCTAGCACATCAGGACATTCACTGTATTTGCTGAATGAATGAGGGGTACTATCCCCTGAGCCAGGCCCCACACTGAGCACTGGGGGAACCGTCTCTGTCTTCAGGAAATCCACAGAACTAACTGGGTGGGGTTAATAGGTGGGGTATGGAGGAACATGGACTAGGGGTCAGGAAATTCTTTTTTTGCCATAAGCTTGTGGGGAAATCTCTGGAGGGTCCTTGGTTCCCTTAGCTGTGTAGGAGAAATGGGTAGAGGCAGGGTCTGAGGGTCTTTAAACTCCACATCCTTGGATTTGGGTGGGAGGAGGGTGCCCTGGGTCCCAGGTCCAACCTGAGCAAGGTTTGGAGGCTCACCAGGTGAGTGGGTGCTGGGCCCAGGTGCAGGGGACCACAGTTGCTGAGTGGGTGAGGATCTACGCGCTGTCCTCCAGGTCCGTGTACCTGCACAACAACAAGCTGGCAGATGCCGGGCTGCCGGACAACACGTTCAATGGCTCCAGCAACGTCGAGATTCTCATCCTGTCCAGCAACTTCCTGCGCCACGTGCCCAAGCACCTGCCTCCTGCCCTCTACAAGCTGCACCTCAAGGTGGGAGGGAGAGGGCAGGGAAGGGTACAACCAGAACTGGGACCTGGAGCTAGGGAAATGCCCAGACCCACGTGGGCACAGTAGCAAGGCTGTAGGGCCTTGGGCACAGGCAAGAGAGCGCGGCATCCACTGTGGAGAAGCAGACAGAAGCCCAGGTGCCTGGCCCTTAGCACACCTGGAGTGCTCCAGGCCTGGGCCTCCCCACCATGGCTCTCCAGACCCTCTCCACACCTCATCTCAAGGCTCTGCCTTGGCCTGCCCCGCCTGCCCCTCACATTCCCTTCCCTATTATCCCACCCCCCAGAACAATAAGCTGGAGAAGATCCCACCAGGTGCCTTCAGTGAGCTGAGCAACCTGCGTGAGCTGTACCTGCAGAACAACTACCTGACTGATGAGGGACTGGACAATGAGACCTTCTGGTGAGCCCCCATCTGGGTCCTCAGGGTGAGCACAGCTCCCTGGGTGCTCCGCCCAGGCCCCACCTGCTAGGACGTCTCACACCTGCCCCTTAGTCTCCCTGGAGAAGGAACTTTGAGACGTGTGCCTTTTCTGGCATTTCTGTCCCCAAGAACGAGTGACATGTATAGGGATGGCCTGCCAAATTTCCAGTGAGGCAAGGACGTGTTTGCAGAGGCTGACTTCTTGGTATAAATTAGAAACTCAAGCATTCTTATTGAGGACAAATTCATTTTGATTTGTTTTTAGGACCCAGGGTAGCTATGACAAGCCTTAAACAATTCATCTTCAGATAAACTCCTATATGTTAGAAACCATGTTAGGCCCTTCTTACAACAACCTATTGTTGAATCAAGCCAATAAGAGGCTTGGAGAGGACTGAGGTCCCCAGTCAGCTAGTGGCCAAGCGGAGGAGAAATAGAAGCAGTTCCCTGCCACTTCCCTCTGGAATCTGTAGGAACAAGCACCTTCCTCCCAGCCATCCTGACCCCCCACGCCTTCCCGCACCCCGACTCCCCTCAGGAAGCTCTCCAGCCTGGAGTATCTTGATTTGTCCAGCAACAACCTGTCGCGGGTGCCCTCCGGGCTGCCGCGCAGCTTGGTGCTGCTGCACCTAGAGAAGAACGCCATCCAGACCGTGGACGCGGACGTGCTGACCCCCATTCGGAGCCTCGAGTACCTGCTGCTGCACAGCAACCAGCTGCGCGCGAACGGCATCCACCCCCTGGCCTTCCACGGCCTCAAGCGACTGCACACAGTGCACCTGTACAACAACGCCCTGGAGCGGGTGCCCAGCGGCCTGCCCCGCCGCGTGCGCACCCTCATGATCCTGCACAATCAGATCACCGGCATCGGCCGCGAAGACTTCGCCACCACCTACTTCCTGGAGGAGCTCAACCTCAGCTACAACCGCATCACCAGCCCGCAGGTGCATCGCGACGCCTTCCGCAAGCTGCGCCAGCTGCGCTCCCTCGACCTCTCCGGCAACCGGCTGCAAACGCTGCCTCTGGGGTTGCCACGCAACGTGCACGTGCTGAAGGTGAAGCGCAACGAGCTGGCTGCCATGGCTCGGGGGGCGCTGGCTGGCATGGCCCAACTGCGTGAGCTCTACCTCACCAGCAACCGGTTGCGCAGTCGGGCCCTGAGCCCCCGCACCTGGACAGACCTTGCCCATCTGCAGGTAAGGGGGAGAAAAGGGGGGTGGGCTATGCCCGTGTGGGATGCTACTGCGTTGAGCCCACCCGTGTGAGAGGCTGGTGAAGGCTGGACAAGAGGGCTGGATGGTGAGGGAGGTACCCACTGCAGAGGCTGGACCTCAGGGGCGGGGGAGCTGACCTGTGCAGAGAATATGGTGGTATCCCTGGGTCAGCCTAGCTCACCTCCAGGTACAGGAACAAAGGTAGAGTCCAGTTGGAATGGCCAGGCTGAGCTCACCACCCACAGGCATGAACTTGAGAAGTGCTGTGGGTGTAAGAGGAGGTCATGGCTGCAGGGAAGGGGCCTCAAGGATATCTGGCCATATGCATTGATTGGGTTTCTGGCTACAAAGGAAACCTCCAGACTCAATGAGCAGCTGAAAAATCACTTCTTTGGAGAAATCTGGGAGGCAGGACCAGGTTCTTTGAGGTGAGGGTCTGCTACAGCTCAGCTGTCCAGTCAGTCAGAACCTCCCCTGATGTCATCAGGGCCCTGCTCAAAAATCACCTTCTTGGGAGGTCTTCAGATCCGTGAAGCTGGAGCAGGTTGGGAGTTGGGGGGAGGCAGCTAGCCTGCAGGAACAACCTTAAATGTCTCTCCCCATCCGGATGGCCCTACCAAGTGCCAGACACCAAATCCATCCTCCTGAGCCAGTGGATGTCCCTCTTTGATATTCCCCAGGAATGCTTTTCCAGGGCCCAATCTCCTCCTCCACACCTGCTCCTCCTGCTGCATTTCCTAAGTTGCTGAAAGAGGCGACATCCACTCACATGCCCAGGGGAAACCTGGATGTTGCCCTTGACATCCCCTTTTCACCATTGTCTGCCCCCCAACAGCAATCATTACTAAACCCTGCCAATTCTACCATCACATCTCTAATCTGTCCACTTCCTTCCATCCCTGCTGCCCATACTGCAACCAAACCACCTTCATTTCTGGCCTAGACCCCAGTTTCCTGGGAGCTGTCCCCTTATGCAATTAGACAGTATCCTGAAAAACATGCCTGCCATCCACTCCTGCCCAGTACCCTTATGTGACAACACCCCCCACCCGCCGCTCCGAGCATCCTTAGTATCCAGACCAGAATACTTGCCTTGGCCTTCAAGGCCTGTCTGCCCTTGCTCTTGGGTGTGCTTCTTAGTTTTCCAGATGCACTGGACTGTCCTCATACTGGCCCCTCTGCTGAAAGCATCTTCTCCTTGGTGACACCTGCTCACTCATTCTTTCCACAAGTCTCCTCTATATGCCAGGAATAGTTCTAGAACTGAAGGCCCAATGAGGAACTAGATAAATGGAGGGTCACTGCCTTTCTGGAATGCATACCTAGGACTCACCTCCTCCCTGAAGCCACCAAATTATGGGCAAATTAGATGCCTTCCTGTGCTTGGGTGAGTTTGGTCAGAGATGGGATATCTGGTGTGGGAAGAGATTCCTCCTCTTATTGCTGGATCTTTCTATAAGCAGTTGCCCCTGCTGCTTCAGAGCCCCTATCTGCACTAGTTAGCCTCCACTTCTAACTTGAGGCCGGGTCAGATCCCTCCCCCAGGCTTCCTCATCAAGCTCATTCCACTGGTTGCCATTGTCATATTTTGTGTCCATCTCCCCCCCTCTCCCACTCCCCCCGATAGCCTGGAGGAAATGTCTCAGTGGATTCCATGTCTCTGGCACTTGTGGGCACTGAGGATGTTTGGAATGAGTGGATAGCACTGGAGTTTACATGGAGGGAAAATGGTAGGGAGCAGGGACTCCTGCTCAGTAGGGAAGGGAAGGGGTGCTCCCTAAGATGAATGAGGCTTGTGCTCCCCTTGGATCTTGATTCCACTTGCCTGGTTCTCTGGACTCATGGCCCCCAAACTTGATACTGAGCCCCAGCCTGTTGGGGTGAGGAAGGGGGCTTAGAGATGTTGGGGCCTCCTGAGGCCACAAAGGTGTGTGTGGGGGTGAAAGTATGCTGACAGCCTGAGGGACAGCGAGCTGGCCTGTGCATCCCCAGGGTCCTGCCACTGCAGGTTTGATCTGCACTCTGGAAAGCCCACCGCCACTGCCTTGACTGCCTGCCTCTTGGATGCTAGTCCAGGAGGCACATGGTGCCTCAGATTGACTGGCCTGGGGCCTAGCTGTCATGCCAGTGTCACCATGAGCTTCACACCCTTCCCCTGGCTCCCAAGGTCCATGAATGACCAGCTGCACCTGCAACCCTCATCCAAGGCCAGTGGGGTGAGATTCAAAGATGGGAGCTTCCCTGGTCCTTTCTGGGATCTTCAGTCTGATGGTGGTGACAGGTGTGCTAAGGAAGGCCTGTGACACTTAGGCGTCTGTGAATTCATGTGGGGAGCCAGAAAGAGACATATGGATAGGACATATATCAATTTAAACAAGGATTTGGAGTCATATGCAGGGTCCAGCCTCTTATGTGACCGTGTGACCTTGGACAGATCTCTTAACCTTTTTCTGTCTCCCCATCTGGAAAACATGATAAACCCCACCTGACAGTTACCATGACAATGAGATAGGCTGGGGTCGGGGGAGTTGGTGGGAGCTTTGTAAGCTGTGAAGTGCTTTGACTCCCCTGTAGCTGCTGGACATTGCTGGGAATCAGCTCACTGAGATCCCCAATGGGCTCCCCCAGTCGCTCGAATACCTGTACCTGCAGAACAACAAGATCAGCGCCGTGCCCGCCAATGCCTTCGACTCCACGCCCAACCTCAAGGGCATCTTTCTCAGGTAACGCCTGCCCACCCCCTGGGTCTGCGCGGCTGCAGCAGGGTGCTGAGGCACATAGGAACAGCTTGCAGGCAGAGGCCAGTGTCTGGAGCCAGGCTTTACTTCTCACTGGCCACCTGGCCCTGAGTATGTCACAGAACCCCTCTGAATCTCTGTTCCCTCTGTTCTCAAGGCTGGGGACAGTCCTGGCCAGGACTGGTGAGGTAACAGGTTTGTAAAGTTGTTTCAGGAACCTTAAAAATTGGTGCATGTGGCCATCATGGATGTTACAGAGTTAGAGGAAAGAGTGTCTTCCCAGTTCACCACTAGGGAAGCCCAGAGAGCTCGTGTGACAGCTGTGTCCACAGCTGGCCTGGCTGGGCTGGGGCCTCACCCCCTGGGTAGTAGATATTCCAGTCCTCACTGGGCTTTGCCAGTTTAGAATAATTAAGGGGACCCAGCTCCCCAAAGAGAGGAGGATCTTCCATATAGCAGAGCCAGGGTGGTCCTTCTCAACACCCACACCTCTCCCCCACACTCCCAAATCAGAGAGAAAAAAGGAGACAGAACAGAGAAAGGCAGAATGTGTGCTCCCAGGGTCCTGTGTCTGGGCCTTGTGGGGGTTCAGTGTGACCCGTGCCTCGGCTCCTGCAGTAGAGTGAGGTACAGAGTTGAGGGGGCCTGAGATCAAAGCCCACAGCCACCTTTCCAGAGCCAAGGGTGTCCTGGCCCAGCTTGGCCTGCTCTGGTCTGTGTAATACTCCACAGCAAGCAATGAGGGGACTGCAGCTGGTGGCCCAGTAATGTTAGGCCTCGGGGTTAAGCCAGCTGAGAGGCCAAGGGGAGACTCCCTTGTCCTGCTCCCTTGTCTCCCTTGTCATGCTACCCACATGATAGTGAGTGTGAGTACAGGCCACAGTTTATGGGTGGGTGACCCACAGTTAACTCCTGCTCCCCAGGCTGTAGCCACACTGAACAACCTGGTCTCCCCGTGATGCCCACACGTCTCAACTTGCCCACCATCTCCTGTAGGGCTCGTCATTCCCCTTTGCTTTCTATGTGAGTCTGGGTGGGACTCTGAGGATTGGGTCCTGGCACTGACCCATGTGGGCGGCCTATACCTACGCAGGTTTAACAAGCTGGCTGTGGGCTCTGTGGTGGAAAGCGCCTTCCGGAGGCTGAAGCACCTGCAGGTCTTGGACATAGAAGGCAACTTTGAGTTTGGCACCGTTTCCAAGGACCGGGGTCAGTTGGAGAAGGAAGAAGATGAGGAGGATGAGGAGGATGAGGAGGAAGCGGACAGGCGATAGTGACCAGGGGAACTGGATAGAGGTAGGTGGCCTGTGTGGGGTGCACTCACCTCTCCTCACCAGTTTCCTGTCCCTGACCCCTGTTTAGAGTCTTTCTGTTCAGTTTTTATGCAGACTTCTGCTTCATCATTCATTTTTCAAACCTGTAAGAGCACTAGGTATGTGCCAGGCCCTGGGTGAGAGGCTGGGATGGAACAGCAGCCTATGGGAGGCCGCTGTGCCAGGGGAGTCTAGCCCTGGGTGATGGGCTTTGTGAACAGATCCAGGGGCCGAGAAGGTGGATGCAAGGGATGGATGTGGGGCCTAGCTATAATGGGGTGGGGCAGCAAGGATGGAGACAAACAGATGGGCCTGAACCAGGTTAGGTGGGGTTGGGAGTGGGGTGCAGACTTAAGGGGCCAGAGTAGAAAGGCTGGGTATAGGCTGAGGAAGAAAACAAGATCCCTACCCTGGCTTGGAATTCTGGATAGATGATCGCATCAGGAGGAGCAGGTATGGAGAAGGGACTGTGGAATTTGAGGGGCCTAGCAGACACTGGGGGAGCTCCCTGGGAGTGGGTTGGATATATGGGCTTGGGGTTCAGGAGAGAGGTCTGGGCTAGAGATGGGCATCCAGGACCAGTCAGCCTTGGGGATCTCACCCCAGGAGAGTAAGTGGGAGTACACAGCCAGCGTGAGAGGAGCCTGCAGAGAAGGCTGCTGTGGAGCAGCAAGGGAAGGAGGTGAGGAAACTGCAGAGTGAGGACAGAGATGATGCAACACTTACATGCAACATCAGCAGCTGCACACATGAGTGCAGCAGCTCCCATGTACTGAGGCTCATAAGCATGCATACAAACACACAAAGCACATGCTTGCAGATTCCACACCGCACACACATGCACAGACTCTGACATCCACAGATGCAGGACATGTGTATACTTGCACACACACGAGTACACACACATACTTGCCTGGCACACAGACCCTTATGTGCACACATGTGAAGCACACACATGTGTGCATGCAATATGCATCTGTGCAGTCTTCTCTGGAAGTGGGAAATCAGCTTTGTTCGTGCTCAGCACTTGTCCATGCTGTGGAAGTGAGCACTGCTGAGGCCACGTGGAGGTCATCTGTGACTCAGTAGGGAGCAGTCTCGGCTGAAAAGATGGCAGTGGATAAAGTATAAAAGGGTAGATCTAGGGAGTGTAGACAATGCTATCAGGAAGTTTTACAGTGAAGAGAGGAGAGGGTGGTAATGGGAAGGGGGTGTCAAGTACAGGCAGGGCCCCCTTCGTGTTTAGCCTTTTTAAAGGAATAGGCTGGTTGGAGTGTTGGTGGGGAAGGGCCACTGTGCAGGGAGCCATAAGACAACAGAGAGGAGAGCGGGTGTGAGCAGTGCCTGTGGAAATAGCAGGCGGTACTGGTTGGGGCAGCAGAGCCATCCTTGGTGACAGAAGGCATGGCGGGCCGAGTGGCTGCTGTCACACACAGGCGAGTGGCTCGGGGTGGGGCATAAAGTCATGGCAGCCAGTGCCCCAGTGTGCTGTTTCCTCTGTGTGTAGCAGGAGGTGCTCAGCAGGTGGGGGTGAGTGTGGAGAGAGGAATAGTTGGATTCATCTGTGCGTGGGGTTCTGGCTATGTGTGGGGCACAGGAGGGCAAGGAACGAAGAAGTTGAGTGAATTGGCAAGAGAATGGCTGGTGGTGTAGCTCCCAGGGGTCAGGCTGGGAAGAGAAGGAGGTGCAGACAGGAGGGTGGAGGGCATGGCCCGCTGGACAGGGCTATTGGAAAGCATGTCCAGTGGTGGCCAGGAGCCAGGGGGAGAAGTGTGGTCAGAGGGGATATCAACGTGAGCTACGCTGAGGGTCATGGGGGTGCTGCTAGGCCCTACTCAGATGTTGAATTGAAGTAGGGCCTGGGGCAGAGAAGAGCCTGCAGGGTGCTGAGGACTCCATGGTGGATCATGGAGTTGGAAACAGGGGTGCAGCTGGTGACAGAGTGTACCTCAGGGAGGCTACCAAGCATGGAGGGCAGGCCCAGAGGCTGTGCTCCAGAATTGCCGTCCTCTGGTCCTGGGGCCCCAGGATGTGAAGATGAGGCTCCCTCTCCCCAGGCATTATCCTCAACCAGAGCTGGGGGCAATGTCCGGGATAAATGGTGGTTCAGTGAGGACGCTGTCACCCTCACAAGGGGGCCTATGGAGTCCAGGGCTGGGAGCAAATCTGCCCCCCTCAGGAGGATATTGGCCACAGTCATGTCAATCTCATGGGGCCTTGGGAAAGGCCCCAGGGAGTGGCCAGTGGGACCCAAAGGCCCCTGGCCACGTTGGCATGAGCACCTCCCAGTCAAAGCCTGCTGACTTTGCTCCCAGGGGCATCACCCTCCCCACACACAGTGGCCTGACCCTCCCATAGCCCCCTTATGCCAGCCACCCAGGCTATCATCCACCTCCCTCAGTCTGGTCGTGGGAGGGCTGCCACCCTCCCTGACTCTCCTATGTGTTCTGCAGGACGCTGGACCACCGGATTCCTTTCTGCAGCACGTGCCTGTGCCTGTGAGCCCCCACTCTGCCACTTCACAGACACACCCTCCCAAAGGTCTTCCTCTGTGCCCCACCCATCTCCTCCATCACTCCTTGGGAGTCATGCAGACTTGGGATCTGACCCTGCTCTGGCATTCACGGGTACCTGCTCCCTGCTGGTCCACGGACACATATGTGTGGGCGTGCACACACACACACACACACACCAGTTGTGTGCAAACAGCCCTCTGTGGCCTATGCCACCAACAACTTGTCCCAGTCAGAAACAGCTCATCATTTGCCCATCTGTCCATCCATCCGTCTGTCCCCTGGAGAAGACACAGAGCGATCTCTATGGCATCTGTGGCCAGATGCCTACCACCTCTGGAACTCACAAAAGCTGGCTTTTGTACTTTTCCTTCCTGACTGTGGCCCTGGCACTGGCTGTCCTGCCTTTCAGTTGCTAGGGCAGTCACAGTGCCAGGGCCCCTCCTGTGACCCCCTGGCACCCCCAGGGACCACTGCGATGGGCAAGCCCCACTGAGGCTTGCTGGGAAAGTCTCCTGGGGCAGGACTGTGGTGGAGGTGTTGGGGCCAGGCCGGGTGAGAGGGAAGGGCTCAGCTGCACCACGAGATTAACTCTTTGATTCGTTGGCCTGTGGGGAGTTCTGTTTTTTTATAATTTTATAAGAAAAAAAGGTTAAAAATGTCAAAGCTGATTTCTCTTGTTACAGAAAAACTAATATAAAGCATTACCGCTGTCTGGCACTTGTGGTGTCTCTGTGTGTGCTTCCTGTCAGGTGCTGCACTAAGCCCTGGCAGGGTAAGCCCGGCGCAAGCTCCAAAGCACCTGTCTGGACCAGCAGGGGTCAGTGCAAAGTTCAGCTTTTGGGGCCCAAAAAGTAGTCACACAGGCAGAGGTCCATGGTGGACCCTGCAGTGGGAAGGGGATTCTAGGGCCGGGACTCTTCCCAGATGCCTCAGACTATGGCCCCTAGAGGAAAATGATGGGAATGAGGTGGGAGGTGGGTGCCGTCCTGATTCTGGGTGACCTTGGGAGACCGGTCTCCTCTCCCAGTATCAGTGTCTTCCTGGGTTGGGTCCATGGTGCACGCCCCTGGAGCTTCTCCCCCAAGCACACTCAGAGCAAAGTGTGTGGCCATAGCTCTTCCATGTCCCCTAGAGCCTCCTGGAGGTGAGGGGAATGAGGGAGCGTGTCTGGGAATGTCCTCAGGCATGGGTTCACTTTATAGCAAAACATTCACCAAAGGGAGCCAGATTGGGGACCTTTTGTGGGGACCAGTCTTGGTCCTGGCTGCAGAGCAGAGCCTAGACTAGGGGCTGGGTGATCTGTCCACCCGAGTCTGTCGAGATCATCCCCTGGGCAGGCTGGGAGGTACACTACCTCCTGCATGTGACAGCTTAGACAGGCTGTCCTCACTCTGGCTACCAGGACAGGCTCACTTGCACTCTGGCTGCCCAGGCAGGCCTGTCCCCACATTGAAAATCCAGACAGACACACCTATCTATGTTCTAGCTTCACAGACAATTATGTTTATGTCCTGGCTACCTGGACAGGCCTGTCTAAATTCCAGCTGCCCAGACAGACCTGCCTGGACTGTGACAGCCTGTATTAGCCCAATAAAGAAATGCTGGCCAGAGTGTGGTCAGTAAACCATAGCACTTTTATTTAGTTATCACTGAACTTACAAACACAGAGAGGTATAGAAAATGTAACTCACTTCATCACACAGGCTTTTGGGGAGTTCTGAACCTAGGGCTACGTGGGCAGCTTGACCAAAGCATCCCAGGTGAGCCTGCCTACCCAGATCTTGGCTGGCCCTCCTGTCCAGTGGGCCAGATATTTCTCAGGGTCCATGCAGCTTGGGTGAAGCCAGCCTATCTCCACATTGGATGAACTGAAGTCTGTGGCATGTGAAAGGCATTGGGCCTTGACCTCCAGGCGGGCCCTTCCTCAGGGATGTTCATTTTAGGCCATGTGTTATGGAATGGAGGGGGTGCTGGCTGGGCTGAGACACAGCTGGAGCAGAACCAGGATGTTGTTGTTATGTCTTCATAAATTGAAAGCAGTAGTATGGAGAGGGGTAATGGTGTCTATGGGACTCCTCTTAGCATCTGGCCCTTTTGGCACCCTGTCCTCCAAGAGGGTGTGGCCTGGACTTGAAAGATGTGAACCAGTCTCCTGGCCCTCACACCACTTGTTCTGAGACCCAGGGCAGGTGTTTTCCACTGTCAGAGCCTCAACTCTATCATCCAGAAAGTGGGGGCTGTAACCTCTGCCTGCTGCCTCACAGGCCAACACAATGGACACATCACAGCAGGGCTGGCCACCGCTTGCCCACCAGGGCTACCTCTCTAGACTCTAATTTCCACCAAGTAGAGTCAATTCTGGCCACACAAGGGAGTGAAGAATGTGCGAGCCTGTCAGCTGCTTAGGAAAGCTAGGAGTTGAGATCCTGCCCTTGGCCCCTAACCCCGAGGCCTCCCTGCAGGCTCAGACATGGGTCTCAAGCTCTCTGATCTCAATGGTGCAGTGGTGCAGGCTGGTGGTGGCCAGCTCCTCATTCTGCTCCACCTGGACGGGGACATGGTGGGGACAGGCAGGGCCCAGGGTCAGCTCCGAGGCCTTAGCCACGCTCTTCACACAGCCATTCTGCTGTGTCACCATGATCTCCTGGAGGCTCACCGGCTTGGTCTCACCAGGTGGAAGTTTCTGAGGAGGGGAAATAACCTGGGGAGCAGCTGGAGAACCTGCAGCCAGACTCCAGGGAGGACAGAACAAGCAAAGGGCTGGGGACCAGGGGTCAGCTTTCCTACAGAGGTGCTGTGAGGCCCCTCTGGACTCCTGTTCCTGCTGTCCTGCCTCCTCTCAGGACTGTCTTAGTGGAGGGAGGGATCTGACCCCAGAGTTCAGTAGCAGCTCCCTGCCTGGGCTTCACTTTCCTCCCCTGGAGTAGGGGAGCCTGCTACACGTGGTTATTGAAGGAGCCCTGAAGACACAAATATTTGCATCATTGTAGGTAGGACCAATGCCACCCCCATATGAAGGTTCAAGCCCCCTCAAGGGCAGTTTTTGTTTCACCAATGCACCTCCTAGTTCTAGGTCAGTATCAGCTGTGGTGGGTGCTCAAAACTGTTAGAGGAATTAGTTACCCCTGCACTAGATGAGAGACTGAGGCTGGGCAGCATGGAGGGACTGGCTGAAGGCTGCTCAGTTGGTTGGTGGCAGATCCTGTACCCTGCCCATCCTGGCCTGCTCTACCCTCCTGGTAGCCTTTGGCAGCCAGGCTGGGAGGGAGGCATTGTCTTACCTTGGTGTCCATGTCCTGAGCAAAGTCCTTCCGGCAAATGTGGGCCATGATCCCAGCGGCCAGCGCATCACCCAGCACGTTAATCATAGTGCGGAAACGGTCCCTGCTAAGCCAAGGCAGGTAGTGAGCAGCTCCACTGTCAGCATTGCTGGGGGTGTGTGTGGGGGGGTGACGCTCCTCCACCCCTACCCCCACACCCCCACTCCCCGCAGCACCTGCCAGAGCAGAGGGGAAGTGAGGTGCCTTCCAGGGCCTCTTCAGCCACCTCCTTGGAGATGTCCAAGTGGGCTGCTGCAGGGCCGGCCTCATGCGCCTGTGACCGTGTGCTTGCACAGCGCCTGTTCTCGGAAGGGCCTGAGCCTGGTTTCATGCATTGCTCTCATCACCTCGAAATTGTGTCATTTTTGATGCTGGGACCTCACATTTTCATTTTTGAAAACTGGTCTCACAAATGATGTAGCCAGGCTGGTGTTGATGAGTAAGACACCCCCACTGTGCAAACCAGGGCAGTTCCCCCTCCCACCCAAATGGCTGCTGCTTGAGGGGTGTGGGCAGGTGGGGGTGAGCCCCACTCACAGAGCCCAGTCGATAGCGATAATGAGGGCAATGTCATCAGTGGGCAGTCCCACGGAAGTGAGCACGATGACCATGGTGACGAGCCCGGCCTGGGGAATGCCAGCTGCCCCGATGCTGGCTGCAGTGGCTGTGATGCTGCAAGAGGGGCAGGGAGAGAAGAGGAGGAGCAGAGGGCAGGGTGCCTGTCAGGGAGAAGGCCAGAATGCCAGGGCCTCTGAGATAGCTACACGGGAGCTGCTAGGAGAGCCCCATCAGAGCGTTCTCGGGGGCTGGGAAGTATGTCCCTGCATGAGGGTCTATGGCTCCACGGGCTCCCATCCCTGGTCTCACAGAACCACCTAAGGAACTACAGGAAAACTCTTGTCTGCAGCTGCTCCTCTATAGGTTTCCAGGAAGCTGCCCAGGGATTCTGATTGCCCACAGCACAGCTCTACCAGCATCCTTCTGGAGGTAGATCCCCAGACTGGTACCGCTGGGCTGACAGGCAAGGCTGACTCTGCCCCTCCTCACCCCAGCATCCTTTCTCAGTTCCAGCCACACCAGTGACCACTCCACCGTCCGTTTGCCCTGCCCTTGGCCTCTGTTTCCCCCCGGCCCGCCTGCAGTAACCTCCCCTGCTCTGTGTGGCAGCCTGCAGGGCTTCCTCTGGGCGTCGGCTCCCCAGCCCACAGCACTGGAGAGGGAGCCATGTCCCGAGTCACAGAGGATGGCTCACACTCCTGGCCCAGCACTGACCAGCTGTGTGGCGTGGGAGGAGCTCCCCCCCTCTGGTTTCAGAGACCCTATCAGATCTGAAAACAAGGGCATCCTGAGGCTCCCAGCCCCTGCCCTCATCCACACAAGCTCAGGGGCGTGCCCACCTGATGGTGATGATCTGGCCGAAGTCCAGCTCATAGTTGTTGACCTGGGCGATGAAGATGGTGGCCACGGCTTCGTAGAGTGCGGTGCCGTCCATGTTGATGGTGGCGCCTACGGGCAGCACGAAGCGAGCAATGCGTCGGTCGATGTGGTTGTTCTCCAGGAGGCACTTGAAGGTGATGGGCAACGTGGCTGAACTGTGGGCAGAGAGGCCAGGGTTTGCCCACTGCCACCCCTCTTCAGCCTGGGATGAGCTTCAGGACAGTCAGGACCTCTGGGCTGTCATGTTGGGGGAGGACGGGCTGAAGGGACTTTGACAATGGTCACCTGGGGTGCCCTTTGGAGGTGGGGTCAGTGCCAAGCCAGACCCGCCAGGGCCTGGGGCAGCTGAGAGAGTCAGAAGGGGAATGCCCACTGGCAGAGCCGACCGTGTGCCAGGTACTGTGTGCTTCACAGCTTCTCCTGAGAGGTTGAGTCCATTTTAGAGATGAAGAAACAGAAGCCTGGAGGAGAGGAGGGGCCGGCCCAGAGCTGCACGTTGTGCATGTGTAGAGCTCTGGCCTAGACTCCCTGAGCCGCCTCTAGCCAAGTGGCCCTGGCAGGTTTCTTAACCTGTGTGAGCCTGGCCTTCAACGGGAACACCTAGACCAGAGCTCTTAAGAGTCAACATGTACGTGCTTAGAACGGTGTCTGCCTTGCCAGCTACTGGCTACAATGGCAGCCGCTACTATTCCTGTTACTGGGCCTCCCAGGGTAGTTCTGGGAGTAGAACTCTCATCCCTATTCTCCCCCAGGTCACTGCCTGGGGAGCCCACCCCACCTGCCAGAGCCTGTAGTCGGGCCTTAACGTATTACACCTCAAAAACCAGTCTTACTACCACAGCTACCTCCACATTTGTGAAGTGGGCTGTGCCTACATTTTCTGTGGTTTGTGGCTATAGACAAATGATGGCTGGACAGATGGACAGTTCAGGTTACGCCACCTGCTGCCCGATGCCCCATACCTGGAGGAGGTGGCCAGTGCGATGAGCAGGGCCTGGAGGATGCCGCGGATGAAGATGATGGGGTTCTTCTTGGTGATGAAGAAGTAGAGCAGGGGCAGGATGAAGAGGCCATGGATCAGCAGCCCACACACCACAGTGATGGCATAGAAGCCCAGCTTCTTTCTGACGACTGTGGGGTCGTCCATCTCCAGGATTTTGCCGGCAATGAGGAACACAATGCCAAAGGGGAAATACCTGGGGGTGGGCAGGGCAGCAGGCTCAGTGCCAGACAGGTAAGTGCTAGGCTGTATCACTGCCTGGTCTCCCAGACTCCAGGGAGAAGCCGGACTGTGTGCCCAGGTGCCCAGCCCAGGACATTGTTAATAACATCCTCAGCCAACCACCCCCCCTTCCCTAGTCCTGGCCTCTGAGGCCAGTGCTCGCCCTCAGGAGGCCCATGTTTCAGCCCAGCAATGCCACAACCTCTAGGGTGACCTTGAACAGGTCTCTGCATATCCCTCTCTAAACTGTGCAAGGTTAGAAGATTCCTAAGGTCTGAATTTTAACCAAAGAGTGGCAGCTGGTTCTCACTTCTGTTTCTTTTCTCCAAAAATTGAGCTGATGAGATTCCATGTGACAGGGAAACTGAGGCTTGGGATAGCAGGGCCAGGCTTACTTCTTAGCTCTACTCCTTCTGATTGAGCCAGAAGTGGCATCCAGGGTTGGAACTAGCCTGGTCAGGGGGGATATAGTGGGACACATGGACACATGGAGTTCTGCAAGCCCAGGCCCAGGCTGAGCCTCCTAGGAGAGCAGAGGATGGGACCGTGGTGTTCCTCCACCTCCCAGGGCAGGCGAGCAGGCTTACCACACAGCCACCGCCACGATCTTCATGACAGACTCATTGAGGCACTGGCAGAAGCTGACCAGAGGGGTCCCACTGTCACCCATACGGCCCAGCATGATGCCTGAGGAGGCAGGCACACACAAGCAAATCACAGGTGCTGCAGGTGTCACAGATGCTGCAGACTGAGATGCAGGCAGGTGCCCTGCACGTGCTGACACGCTGGTGGCCAAGCAGGGACAGACCCCGTGCACGGCTCACCTCTGCCCTTGACTGACTTCCTAGCAGCCTGAGCTACCACATCCCTCCCTCTTTTTCTCAGGCTCTGCCACTTGGCCAAGGTGGTGACCTCCTGACAGGGATGTTATCTCTTCCTCTTCTCCCACCCACACCCTATACAGCAGCTAGCGTCACTCCCTGCCAAAATGTCCTCCCTGAGCTCCGAGACCATGAAAAAGGACATCCAGGCTACCAGATTCAGGGAAGGATGAATTCAGGGAGGGGCTGGCTCCAGGTCACACTGTGGCCCAGCTGGCAGCGCATACCCATGCTGGCAGAGAAGATGACGATGCCCAGCACGTTCATGCCATCGCTGGTGCCAGGTTCTGACTTGTAAACCACCTCGGGCGGTGGGGTCAGGTCGAGGGTGAAGTTCTGGACCCGAGAGCCATTCTCTTCCTGGATGCCGTAGATGAGGATGCGCCGAGGAGAAACCTCTGATGCCCTCGTGGGCGACTTGACAATAGGGATAGTCTTGGTGCGGTACTGGTGGCGACACCCCAACCAGGAAGGAGTCAGGGCCAAGTGTGGTTAACATCAACAACAACATGGAAGCACATCTGCGTCTACTTATGAGCTATTTGATGGGCAGTAACCTCATGAGGTAGTCAGGACAGGGTTATTACCAATATTTTACCAAAAAAGAAAATGGAGATTTCTTCATCCATCTACACTCCACCCAGATGTGCCTCTCCATCCCTCCAACCGTGTATGCATTATTACACCACCAGGGTTTGCTTCTAACCATTGTCCACCTCATCTTTCCCTGTAACCCTTCATTTATCCATCTATCCCTTATCAACCATCCATTACCCATTCACTTAACAGCCAGCCAGCCCCGGCTTCCACTAAGGGAAACCTGGACCTACTATTTGGCCTTCGACCAAGACCTGAATACTCAGGGTAATGCTAACATCTTTATGTTTGATAGGTATTGTCAGTATAACTGAGAGTTTGATCAACAGGAGGCGGCTTGATAAAGTTAATTCTTATATTAGAACCCACAAAAAGGAGGCCACGTGGGTAGATCAGCCCACACCACGAATCTAAACCTAAGATAGCCTGAACTTAAGGGAAACACCTGTTAAAACACCCAAACTATATCAATCACAACCCTCTAACTCAGCTTCAGCTGTGGTCAGGTTACTTTCCCCTGGAAAACAGGACCTGCTAATTTCATATGGATATCCCCAACCTCCTAGCCAGTCGTGTCCTGTTTCTATGTGGCCTCTTCTGATGATCAATAAAATGTGCTCCTGTCCAAAATGCCTCATAAGAGTGATCCACTACTTGTCAGGCACTATCCGTGGGTTGTTTTCCCTTGAATAACAGACATCAACCACCAAACTTTTAAAAGAGGACAAAAAACTCTGCTGATGAGGTGAGGCCCCAGCTGGGAAGAATCAAGTAGCTAAGGTAGCTGCCTTTCCTCTGCCCCCAGGGCATTCCTGGCCTTTTCCTCTCATCCCTCAAGTACTAGAAGCCCAAACTGGAGTCTCCTAGCCTCCCAAACACTGAAGTATCATAAGGTAAGCCTTCTGAGGGGAGGTGGATAGGGTTGGAGAGAGCCACACAGGAAATGTATAGGACTGAAATTTCTGTTCTTCAGTTTCTTCATCTGTAAAATGAGAATCATACAAATATCTGCCTCATTAGATAAGCCAGACAACATGCACAAAGTGCTTACCACAGAGCCTGCCACACAGCTAGCCTTATGTAATGACTGCTGTTATCACCACCACTGCTATCATCATCATTCCAGTGCTGAACACTCTGTGCAGGGTCCCCAGAGACACAGGATTGAGCCCAAGATTTCTTCCCTGACTAACTGTCTGAATCAGACAGCTTCACAAAGAAGGGGACATTTGATTTGGGTCTTGAAGGAGTTTGTCAATAGAAAAAGGGGATTCCAGGTGGATATGAAGAAAAGCAGTGCTCTCTCTCTTCTGTCTTCAATAATTCCCCATCACTGCTGGGATAAAACCAAACTCCCTATTTAGAGCCCATTACTAAGCAACTCATAGCATTAAAGAAGACCCTAAAGTTAGCAAAGATACAGTGCTTGGCTTGAGGTCCGTGGTTCCTTATTTTGGAGCCTCCTCTCCAGCCCTCAGCCACCTCCTTGGTGTCCCCACACCCCCGACAGAGCCCAGCACAGGGAAGAGGGTCAGGAAATGCTTGCTGGATTGAGTCAACCAACCCTCCATAATTTTAGAAAAGGGAAAAGAATAGGATATTATTATATATGCAGACAAAGACTGCCACACAAGGATGTTTACCATCATTTCCAAAGGGCAAAACTTTGAAAACAAAGACCACCCAAAGGAGGGTCTGGGTGAATGTCCTACAGTCCAGCCTTACAAAGGGTGATTGCATCACCACTGAATAGTGTATTTTAAGAAACATTTACTAACCAGAAAAAAAGCTCATGACATAAATAGGGATGGGGGTGGTGCAGGCTGCACACTGTCTATGCACAATGATCCTAGTTTTATTTTTGAAAACATTTATGCAGAGAAAAGACAAGACTAGAAGCATACCAGCTACTTCCACTACTGCTAGGGCCAGGAAATAGAGATGATTTTTATTTTCTACTTTATATATTTTTTAGTATTTTCCTAATTTTCTACAGTGAACGGTATTACTGTTCTTATGAGAAGGACAGAGGATTTTTGTTTTAAAGAAAGAGAAAACAAGCTTAGGAACAGACAGGCCGGGCTTTGCCCACTAGCTCTATCATTTCTGAGCAGTATCTGCTGGGTAAATGTTTGAATCCTTTGGAGCCTTGGTGTCCTCACTGAGGAGACGGCCCTGTCCTTTCTGCAGGGCAGAGTATTGTGAGGACTGAGTGAGATGGTGTGTGAGCGCGCGAGCACGTGGCTGAGAGCAAGGACAGAGCAGGCATTACATAAGGGGAAGCCGGCCTAGGGATCCAGCCACAGGATCCAGCCACAGGTGGCGCTAGGGAACTAGGCCCCCCTCCTTCCCCTTCCCTAAGTTCCCTCCCCTATCCCTATGCAGCCTAGGGACCCCCTCACCTGTTTGAATGTGGCTTCCACAAGGTTGGCTGGGAACATGTTCCTGGGAAGAGAGTCAGAAATTGCAGAGTTCCAGATCCAGGACAGGAGGGAACTTGGGGTCATCTGAACACCACCCTGGGCACTTGAGGCCTTCATGACCTAGCTCCACTCCCTCTGCAGTCTCAGCTCCCCACTCCCAGCCACAACCCCTCTTCCCCCACCCTCCCAAGCCCTGGGGGTATGAGCTCCTGTGAGCTCCAACACCATTTGCTTACAGTTCCTCAAATATGCTGTGTGCTTTTCCAGCTCCAGGCCTCTGTCCACACTGTTCCTCTAGATTAGAATACCCCTCTTGCTTCGCTGGCTGGCTAACTCCTGCTCAGACCTTCTTTGACTGCTCAGGCCAGTTCTGTGACCCTTCTGCAGGTCACCCATGTTCCAGCCCATGCACTGGCTGATGTGGCCATCTCCCCGTCTCCCCCGCTCCGCCCCAGTCTCACAGAAGTGGATTCCATTATTCATATTTTATCTGTGGCACCCACAGAAGTGGGGGCATTATTTTTATTAATATTTTCATAAAGTTAAAGGAGAAGGGGGTCTTGTCCTACCAGATTTGAAAGCATAAAGATGTGACTGTCAAAACAGTGAGATGCTGGCAGTCTTATCAGAAAAATCAGTGTAATAGGAACATAGCCCAGAGCCAGAACTTCATACAGCCAAGAATTTCATGTCTGATAGAAGTTGCTTTGGTGAGGACAGGAAGTGAGAAAAGATCAGTGAGGGAAGGAAGGATTCATTAAAAAGTGTTGTGCAATTGACCAGCTATTTGAAAAATAGAAGTTACATCCGTATTTAATACTTAGCACCCAAAAACTTTCCACATGGTTTAATAACTAAAAAGAAAACTGAAACCATAAGAAAGTAGAAGAAAATGCTAATATTTTACCAGCTTTCAGCATTTGGAAGGACTCTCTAAGAACAAAATGAGCAATAAAAAAGTCACCAGATTTTACTACATTAAAATTAAGAATTTTCCAAATACCATATGGTATCCTGGATTGGATTCTGAAAAAAAGAAAATTAGCAGAAAAACTGGTGGTAAAATACAAATCTAATGGAATCCTGTCATCTACTATATAGCATTGCATGACTTTATTTCTTAGTTTTGACAAATAAGTGGAAGTTGCTAACACGGGTGGGGTGGGGGGAGTTGGGTGTGGGTATCTGGGTGTGGGTATCTTTGCATCTTTTCTGTAAACCTAAAATTATTCCAAAATAAAAGTTGAAAAAATTAAGAAGCTCTAAGATGGAACAATCCGAATAAATTTAGAAAGCAAATGACAAACTGGGCAAGTTCTATAACAAAGTCCTGTATCTTTAGGAGCTTTTAAAAAGCTTGTCTTTGTTTTAGTGTTCAGCCTCCCTCTGCAGGCTACCAGGCCCCTGGAGGCAAAGGGCTGCCTTCTGTTCCCTGCTGTGTCCCCAGCACCTGCAAAATCGCCTGGTGCTGGGTCAATATTTGCTGCCTAAATAAATGGCACATAAAACACTGATATTCCCAACAGAAAAGAAAGTCACCACTGGGCAATTCACTTAAAAAAAGCTTTTAAAAAACATTTGGCTTCATCACTAAATTAAAGACACTTTCACCTATCAAATGGGTAAGGTATTTTTTTATTAAAAATATTTTTTTATTTAATTTTTAAAAAAAATTTGAATCATAGAACGTTACCTCCGTAACTCTTAAAATTTTCTTCTACTTTCTTATGGTTTCAGTTTTCTTTTTAGTTATTTCTTTAAACCATGTGGAGTGTTTTTGGGTGCTAAGTATTCAATACGGATGTAACTTCTATTTTTCAAATTGAGGTAGCATTGGTTTACAGCACTATTTTTAGTGCAGATTGACACCCCTTCAAATGTATGTCACCAGACCACACCCATCACAGAAGTACCAGTTACCCTGCAACACAGCCCATGGGACCCTCCACTTTTTGCTCCCACCCCAACACCCCCAGGTCAGGAATCTTTAAAATGGCCACACGCAATGCTGAGGAGGGTTGGTGACCCGGGCACCCTGCAGCCTTTCTGTAAAGCAGTTTAGCGATTCATGTCAAGGGTTTTAAGAACATTCTTTGTCTTTATGGTTTTCTTCCAGGATTTATTCTAAATCAGAGATGCTAACAAGGATGCCCCCTCCGCTCACACCTCCTCCACCTGGATGGCTCCTCCCACTCTTGTTTGTTGCCAGTCTCTCCTGCTCTTTCAAGACTCAGCTAATACATGCATGGGGGTGTATACAGGAATACGAGTGAGCATTATTTCTTAACTTTACACCCCAGCAGCTTCTGTTGTAAAGCAGAAACTAATTTTTTTTCCACTGCTGCTAAAATACAGGTTCAGTGAAAGCATATGGCAGGAGAAACAGGGCTTAGAATGAGCGGCCAAGTCAGAAAAACAGGAAGGAAAGGCCATGGCTGCTGCCATTAATTTGTCACAAAGGGGAGAAGCAGTAGGGGTCAGGAGCTGAAATCTTAGAAGCTCAAATAAGGTCCCTCCCCAGCCTCTCAATGAGTTATAAGGCTTTTGCCACCAGAATAGTAGCTGCCTACAATGGCTTTTGACATCAAACAGACGTAAAGCACCAAAACCAGGCTAGTGCTGGGGTGTTCTTCCACACACCAGGCACACAGCCCACCAGAGGCAATGGTCTACCCTCCTGGGCGCTCATGACAAAATGGACGATACTCATGCTGTGCTGATTGTTGAATAGAAAAATCTCTCCCGGGCATGGGTTTAAGAGGTTTGAGTGACTTTCAGGGTGGTTTTCTAATGAAACTTAGAGCAAAGCCTGCATTAGGCTGAGCAGAAACTTAACAACATTTAAAAAGTAGAAGAAACCTAATGGACTTATACATAGTGGATGGTACCTAGTATGTATATTTCCTTTAAAATTAGAGCAAATGTCTACTGTGGCAAGGGGCAGCCAGTGGCCTACCCAGTCTCCTCTCTCTCCTTTTTATACTATCCGTGTAGCCCTGGTAGACTAGTATAGAAGCCCTGGGATATTCTGGGGACCCACAGGGCCTTGCCATCAAATCCTGTTTCCAGCCTCTCTTCCAAAAGAAGGAGCAGTATGATGTAGGTGGAGTCATTGGGGAGTGCTTCTTGGAAAACTTGGGAAAGGTGCCCATTTGGCCAGGACTTTTGATCCCTGATTTTTTTCTTTCTGCCTGGACTGTGGTTGTAATAGCTAGTGATTGAGCTACCCTCTTGAAACACAAGGTACACTGATGATGAAAGGCAAGTGCTGTGAGCCACAAGGCACACAGGTTGGAGGGAGCCTGGGGTCCTAGGACCACAGACTGCCCACCTCTGAACTGTTATGTGGGAAAAGTCGTGAGCCTTAATCTTGCCAAGCCTCTGCTGCTTTAGGTTTCTCTTAACTAACAGTGAAAAGCAATGCCTGACTAATACGTGTGCTCCTATTAGTAATCAATGAACTCAGGCTCCAGATTTAAACAAAGAATTATGTTTTTGATTATTAAATGGGAACATGCAGAACATGTGACTTTGAACACCCATAGAAGCCTTCCATTTGCCCCTTGAGGCCTGTGGTCCTGGCGGCAGTTACATAAAATGCAGACATAGCCCCCTGGGAGCCATGCCCATCAAGGACACACTCCGTCCGGGCCTCCCAGCACATCTCCCGGAGCAAAGTACAGTCCACCTTGTGGCTCCTCTCCTCTCTTACTATTTGTAGGTTCCCACTGGGATGACTCCCAACTAACCCCAATTCCATGTCCCCAACCAGGCAGCAGAGGTGGGAATTGTTCTTTCCTACGCCCAGATCCCGAGAACTTCGTCCAATTCCTGAGAGAGTAACTGGGAGCTATAAATAGAGTCATTACTTAATCCCTCTGGTGTTTTAATAAGATTGGGGGAAAAAAGCAAGGGCCGAGCTCTGATTAGTGTTCTATTTGGGGTTTCTCTGTGAAGCTGTTGGAGCCAATGTCAGTTTTCCGGAGCCCCTACTTGGAGCCCTAGGAAATGGATCCATGTCATGGGGGATCATCCAGGAACAGGCTGTGGTGTTTCTCTAGATGCATCTTAGAGATGGATGTGTATGTGCCCCCCACTGCCCCGAGGGGTGCTGTGGACCCTTATTCCCCTGTTTAGTTGGCACCCACATCTTTCCCACTTTTTACTTGTCTCACCACCTCAGTTCCCAGTTATCAGCCTTGGTAGCCACCTCCCTAGGCCAGAGCAAGTGTGAGGGGTACCCTCACTGCCAGGGTCCTCATTTTCTGTACCATGTCTCAGAATGTGACAGCTGGAATGGGTCTCAGAGAGTGACTGTCCTCACGCCCTTCTTGTCTGCCCAAATATGGCGGACAGTCTGATGTTGTCATTTGTCCTTGCTGCCCACCCCCCCACTCCCCAGTTCCTGGCACAATGTTTTCTCCCAGAACAGGTGCTTAATAAAGGTAGGTGAATGGAACAGAAGTGACTGCTACCCTCTCAGGGCAAATTCGTGACCCCAGTCACATCCCGTTCACTCCATCCTACTCCTGCTCATCTCTCCCAAATGCACGGGCTTCCTTTTTCTAAAGGGTACAGTCCCCCCCTCAGCCTGGATTCACGGTCTTCAAGCTTGGGCTCTGATTTGTCCTCCCAGCTCCATCTCTCAGAATCTGCTCCCAGAAGCTTCTGATCATTCCCTGAAGGCTCCTGTTGACTGTGGCCTTTGAGTTTCAGAACCACAGAATTAGAAAGAATCTTGGAAACTACTGGGGAAATGAAGACCCAGAGACAGGGACTGACCTGCCCAAGGCTATACAGAGACTTCTGGGCAGAGCTGAGACCAGATTTCTCTTTCCAATCTTCTGGCTCCCTGTCCTGGGAAGCATGTGATCTCTCTCTCCAGCCTCTCCTCTGACCTAGAAATGGTGACAGTGAGGTCTAACTGTTAGCTTTGCAAAACAACTTGCCTCAGGGTTGAGACTGACCAGGGGGGAGAAAACCTCAAACCAGAGGGATCAATTTTCCCCATGTGAAAATCAACCAGGAACAGCAACCGCTGCTGGAACATCTGACACTGACACGTTGTGCATCTGATCCAGAGCCCTCAGCCCCTGAGCGGGAAGGCGGTGCTGGGGAGGATGGGGGCTCCCTGAGCACCAGCAATTCCTTTCATCATGAGGAAAGCTGTTTCGAATCAAAGACTCCAAGAAAAGATGAATCATAGTCACCAAATCTTAGAAATAATGGATCTTAGAAAATGAAGCTTCTCGAAATTCCACTCCCTTGGCTCCTAGAACAACTGCTTTCCTGGTTCTCCTCCCGGGCCTCTCTCACTCCTACTCTGTCAGCTCTACATACCTCCCCAAGGTGGCAGTGGGCCAAGGCTCACCTGGAGCCTCTGCCTCACCCGCTTGGCACATCCTCCCTCAGCAAGTCCTCCCAAGCAGGATTCTGGTGGCATGGGTTACCGGATAAGGTCCAGCAGGGCGTCGGCTGAGCTCATGATGGGCTTCCCGCTCTGCTCAGTCGTCTCCTTTTGGGCTGCCCCTCCTGGGTGGATGACAGAGACCATGATGATGCCCACGATGACTGCCAAGAAGGTGGTCCACAGGTAGTATGCCACGGTGAGGATGCCCAGGCGACTGGAGGTCTTGGCATCCAGAGAGGCGAGGCCGGACATCAAACTGGGAGAGCAATGTTCATCGGGGTCTGTTGGGGAACATGAGGGCTGGGCACCCAAGCATACCCACTCTCACTCCCCTTTTGGCTCTGTCCAGCACTCTCACAGTGCTCTTGGGAACAGGTGGGCACAGGAATCCCCTTCCCAATAGTGCTGACCTTGTGATTCCTTCTCACCTCTCTCTGCTCTGCTCTCTGCCCTGAGCCCAGCGTCACCAGCCAAGTCCTTTCAAGTCTCAAGGTCTTTTCATGGGCTGTTTCCTCTGTTTGGGGTCCTCTTATCAGCATCCTTTATTTGCCTAACTCCTACCCACCAGGTACGGCCAAGCTCAGTGCCACTTTATTGGTGAAATCTTTGTCACTACCTGCTTCTCACCCAGAGTCAGGAACCCATTCTGAGGCTCCGAGAGCCCCAGCCTCCTGTGACGATCCTGGTGGTCACTCGCCTGTCTCTCACACCAGACTGGAGGACTTGTGAGAACAGGGACAGGTCTGACTTCCCTGTGGGTCCCCAGTGGCCAGCCTCGCTTCCTGGAGCTGCCAGTAAGCAGGGGTTACTGCAGGTGTGCCGAGTGAACTAATGACGGAGAGTGAGAGAATGAGTCAGAGCACTAGGCTGGGAGTTGGTGCCCTCCACCTAGTCCAAGTTCTGTCCACTAGCTATGGGCAGAAAGCCACTCCCCATCTTGGTGCCTCGGGTCCCCATCTATAAAATGGGGCCATGGTTAGATTTTTCTCCTGCAAGGTGCCACCTTGTGGCCACCTTCGGTTAGTGCCCCGGCCCACACTCCCCCTGGTGGGAGGCTGTGGTGACAGGACCTGTGGGTTCCCTCTCTTGGCTGCTCCCACCCCTGTCCGTGCTGACCTGGGCTCTCTGCCCACCAGTGCAGGTGAGCCTCTTATTTACTCTTCTCACGGCCCCTGGGCTGCAGGGCCCAGGAGTGAGAGATTAGTTAAGGAGATGCTTGTGCTTTGCTTTACTGCCAAAAGGATTTTTTTCCCCCAGAGCCCTTTCACTCTTTCAGATAAAGGAAATATTTTTCTAATTTTAATCATGTAAACAAGAGCACATAACCCCTTCGTCCTGTTGACATTAGACTCTGGAGCAGGCAGCAGACAGCATCCAGCATCAGGCTGAGCACAGAAAGTCTCTTCCCTAACACAGGCTGCAGTCACATTTGTGTGCACTCCGATCTTCCAGCTTGCCACAGCAAAGACTCACTCTTCTAAGATACAGTTTAAAGTCCCCCTCCTCTAGGAAGCCTTCCCTGACCACGAGCCTGGGCGAGAGTTCTTTCTCTGGACTCCCACGCCGTTGTATTGTGGTGCAACCCAGCCTTCGCCTCACTGAGGTGCTGTTTACTGAAAGTGTCTCCAGGGCAGGGTCTGATTTCAATGCTGGGTCCGCAGAGCCAGGCACAGGGCCCAGCTAGAGTATAGCAATTCTCTGATGAGGAAGTTTTTACAACCTCTGTTCATTCTTCTCTGCCAGGACGCCATATGTGAGTATTGGGCTTAGGGTGGGTCTCAGACATTAATCCTGAAGGGATAATGGGATTGCATGGCTGGGGGAAATGGAAGAGTGCCCTGCAGCCATTATCCATGAGAGCGATTATCCCTAGCTCAGAAACTGTCATTGGGTGGTGAGATTCTGGGTAATTTTTATTTTTATTTTAAATGAGTTTTCATGTTCTCTATTAGAATGAACATGTCTTGCTTTGTGTTGCTGCCTCACCTGGTCCTCATACAAGGCTGTAAGTCGGCCCTGCCCTGAAGACTCACACTGCGAGCCACTGAGCTTCCCAGTCGGCATATTAAAAAAGCGCAAAGAAACAGGTGAGATGAATTTTTGGTGAAATTAATTTTAATAATTCTTTAATCCATTGGATCCAAAATACTGTCATTTCATTGTGCAGTCAATATACACGTGTTATGCTCCTGCAGGTGTTTGAATTTGATTTTAATTTGTAAAATTAAAATCTGCAGTAAAATTAAGTTCCGCAGTTGCACCAGCCACATTTCAAGGACTCAGTAGCCACACTGTGTAGTTTGAGGGACAGATAACAAACTCAGGGAGTGGGAGGTCACCGGCCCAGCCATTGGCTGGTAAGCTGTAGTTGGTTTCACTCCTGTGGAAGAAGAGGGTGTTTTGGTTTTGGCTGACTGATTTCAGTGTGGTCCACTCCACGGAAGGCCTCTTGTGGCGTTGACGAGCCTCCCCACGGCAACCCTCGGATTTGTGGTGGTGAGCTCTCTATCTTTGGGGGCATCCAGTTGGAGCTGTGATGGTTGCTGTTGGGATGCTAGAGGAAGGTTTCAAGATTGAGTAGGAGATTCTCTGAGGATGACCCTTCCTTCTGGCTCAGATTTATGGTGAGGGGGAAATGGATAACCTTGCCTCTCTGACTCTCAGCCTGGCTGGGTGTTCCAGGAGTCCCCAAGGTCCTTGAGGGTCTAGGGGACAGCTTCAGGGAGCAAAGAGGTCTGAGGCTCCCTCCTAAGCCATCTGGCTACTACTCAGGGCCAATGGATTGTGGATCAAGAGTTGCGGTGATTGGGGAATCTCCTGAGCTCCAGGGCTCAGCCTGTTTCAATCTGGTAATTGCTCCACTTACAGAGGGATGGGGGGAGGGAGGCAGCAGCTGCTGGGCTCCTCAGGGAGGGAGAATAAAGCCTCTTACTCACGGGCACCTGGTTCCCACACCACCCCCTGAGGTGAGTGTCCTGACCCTCTCTGATGTTGGGAAGTACCCAATGCTGCTTGTGTCCCTGGCTATGGAGTGTGGTCAGGCTGCCTGGACTGCTGAGAGCCCCCTTCCTGTTTGACATCCTTGGTGGCTCCCCAAAGCCCTCAGTCCACACTCCTTCAAGGCCTTGGGTCCAGTGTGGCCTGATTCATTCCCCTCCTCCTTGTTGGGCCACCCCAGCCGCCATGATCACCCTGCTGCTCCTTGAGCCACCTTTGTATTTGTTCCTTCAGCCTGGAACCGTTTAACTCCAACCCCTCACCCCCCACACCTCCCCAGTCTGACAAATTTCCATTTGCTCTTTTCAAGATCAGCTCAGATGTCACTTCTGCCAGGATGCCTTCCCTGGTGTGTTCCTCTTGCCCACCTTCCCAGGGCACACTGTATTCTCAATTGGTTACAGGTCATGCTGTCGGTATGCCTACTCCTGAATCCCCGAGGCCCAGCTCAGTCTGGCACAGGACAAGCTGGCAGGGAGCAAGTGCTGAGAGTTAATGATGGTTGATTGTGAGGGTTATCCTAGGTTTAGAAGAGTGAGTGCCTGGAGACTCCCTGGTGGCACAGCGCTTAAAGACAGTGCTATCAAGCTATAGCCAGCCACTGCAGCATGAGCTCCATTCCTGGCCCTCCTGTCTCACCCGCTGTTCCCCTCAGCAGTGTATTTCTGTTTATCTGCCTGTTCTGCTCCCCACTCTGTCCCTGGTGAATCCTCTCACCCCCTGCATCTCTGGCCCGCATCCCAGCTCTTACATGCATAAATAATTCTTGAAAAAAAAAAAAAGAAGAAGTGCCCGGTGTATAATAAGTGTTTGATGCTTACTGTTACTAGCATATTCCAGTTACTAGCATCCACTCATTATCTGTCACCATGTCCTCTGATTGCCTGCCCCGTGACTGCGCTCCTCCGAGGAAGGCTGAAGGGGCTCAGTCAAGGCACTCAGCGTCCAGGGCCTGTCATAGCCAGATGCATGTGACATTAAGCCACGGTGGAATTTTAGACTAGATTGTTAAAAGGACACATGAGCTTCGATGACCATGGGCACCCATTGGGGGGCTCCCTGAGAACAGGAACTTGTGGGCATGGATGAGAACTGTTGGGAATGACTGCTGCAGGCAGTGTGCACTTCTGGAGTGAAGAAAAATGGACAGGGTCTCCGCAGGTATGCTTCTCTGCAGGAAAGCAGAGAGGACTGCTTTTAGCCTTCTCCTTCCTCACCATTTTTATTAATGGCTTGGCCAAGGCCACTGACAGCATGTACTCCATCAGATTCACAGAAGACAGGAAGCTGGGAGGAACAGCTAATGTTTGGATGAGGGAGTTGGGACTGAGCAGACCCCAGCAGGCTGGGACTATGGGCCAATTCTGACACGATGAAACAGAACATGGACACGTGTTGGGCTGTGCTTGGCTTCAGCAACCTGGAAAGCACAGACTCTGGGGTGGAAGGGGCGTCTGAGCCGCTGCCGCAGCAGCAGCACGTGGAAAGGGGACTTTGGGGGTTGTTCACTGCCAACTTGATGAGTCACTTGGGGCACAGGGCAGCCAAAGGGCAGGTGAGGCCTCAGCTTGTGGGGCCAGAAGACTGGGGAACTTGTTAAAGAGGCCATGGACCTATTCTGATGATGAGACCCACTGGGAAAGTGATAGGGGAGGGAGGTGTGTGTCCCACAGGGCAGCTGGGATCAGTGGCAGGTGTTAGAGGTGCAGGCGTGGGGAAGCATCTGAGAGGCCAGGGGCTGTGGAACCAAGAGCAGACCAAATCTGGGGCATGCTGGTCTTGATGAGGAAAGCCCAGGGAAGCAGGTCCCAGCTCAGTGCCAGGAATAATTTTCTAGCAGACAGAGCAATCCTGCCCTGGACAGGACCACCATGAGAAGCAGTGACCTCCCAGTCACTGGGGGGGTGTGACCCACTGAAGTCACACAGTGAGTAAGCAGATTCAAATCCCAGTCTATGCGCATGACAATATCCATAGTCACAACATCCTGGCACTGACACGACCTTGGAGACAGGAAGGAGCCCTGAGTCCTGTGGCCAAGTCCTTGGTCTCTGGCCTCAGCTGACCCAGTCAGGCGGACTATCGCAAACTGGTGGCTGGGATGCAGCTGCAGGGAGTCCACCCCACAGGCAATCAGAAGGAGGCATCTGGGGACCCATGGGAGGACCTTCAGCCCTTCCATACCACATGGCTTGTGTCTTTCCCCTGAAGAGACCACAGACCTAGCAGTTGACAGCAAGTGCCACATTAGCGCCTAGT